AAGCAACAGCAAGCAACAGCAAGCAACAGCAAGCAACAGCAAGCAACAGCAAGCAACAGCAAGCAACAGCAAGCTACAGCTACAACCACGCATACCAGGCTGATAGAGCACAGCTTGTCCTTTCTCTTCTTTTCTATTTCTTCCTCTAACCCGAGACGCGGACACTTGTGTATTAATCGATGTTACTAGTACCAGTAGTAGTATATTGATTAAAGTTACTAGTACCAGTACTAGTAGTGGTAGTTGGGTATACAAGTCCAAAACATGTGCATGTGCATAGCCATGGCCAGGGATAGGGTATGGCCTTACATACCAACAGCAAATACCTGGCCGGCCTGAGTTCTGACCCCAAGCTAAACACAAGTACCGCCCAAGCCAGATCAAATCCAGCGGTCCTCCCACAGCCTGGTCGGCGATCAATGGCGTCAATAGCCAACAGCCACAGTCAACAGCCAGTAGTCAACAGCCATAGTCAACACCGCCGTCTGTGGTCTGTGGTCCGTCGCGCGTGGTCGACAACTTCAGCTTAACATTATTAATAGCTCAAGCTCGTCCTCAAGCTCATCCTCAAGCTTCAACTCAAACCCAACTCAAACCCAATCTCAACTCAATTCCCAATCTTCTCTTCATGCATCACACTCCCCGACCTCTTCTCGGCCGCGATCTCCTGTACGCGATTCTCCAAGTCGTGGCTGATATAGGTTTCCTTGCTGGTGCCGACGACGATCCACGGCGCCTTGGTGAACAAATAGTTCATCTCCTCGAGCGGGCGACGGGCGGTTTCGGGCAGGACGAGCCAGAAGAAGATGGCGTTGGTGAGGTTGCAGATGATGAAGAGGTAGTAGAATTTATAGCCGATGTTTTGCATGGCGATGGGGGTGACTTGACCCTAGGAAAGGTTAGTAGGGATGACGGATAACAATCGAATTGATGGATGACGATCAAGATAGGATGAATCGAAGGGGGAAATAGAAACAAAATAAGAATAGAAATAAACAGAACAGAAACAAACAGAACAGATAAACTCAACTTACAATCATAGTGTTAAAAGCAAAACTCGTCATGGTGGCAATACTGACGCCCTTGCTGCGTGTGCGCGTATCAAACACCTCGGACGGGATGATCCAACTCAAGGGCCCGCAGGTACACGAGAAGCTGAAATTATACAGCCAGGTCATGATGATGAACCCCCATTGCGCGCCCTTGTTGGTCGACACGCCCGGCGGGAACGTGGCCAGGAGGACGGTGGCGACGATGAAGGTGACCATGTTGCCCAGGTTGCCGCCGATCAAGGGCCAGCGCCGGCCCGTGTGGTCGATGAAGAGGATGGTGCAGAACTGTGCGACGAGGGCGATGATGCTGTTGATGCCTTGGTACTTGAGGGTGTCGTCGCCGGTGATTCCTGTGATATTGCATCGGTCAGGAACAAAGTGACAAAGATGGGACGGGGAAACAAAGCATAGCATGAGACGGGGACGGGAGATGACGCCAAAGAAACAAAGTATAGCATAGCATAGCATCAGGGGATCATAGGGACGGGAGATGACGCCAAAGACCAAAGTGTAGCATAGCATAGCATCAAGGATCATAGTAGCTCCGCATAGCATCGAGGATCCCGGCAGCTCCGCATAGCATCAATGCATCGCAGCGAGACGCAGGAGCAAAGAATCAAAGCATAGCATAGCATAGCATCAAGGAGTCATAGTAACTCTGCATAATCAATGATCCAAGCATCTCTGCATAGCATCAAGGCATCACAGCGAAATGCAGGACATAAGAAACAAAACATAGCATAGCATCAATGCATTACAGCGAGATGCAGGACCATAGAAACAAAACATAGCATAGCATCAAGGAATCATGGGACGGGAGATGAGAGATGGGATTATATGACGCCACAACGAGATACAGGAACAAAGAAACAAAACATAGCATAGCATAGCATCCAAGCATCATAGTAGCTACTTACCAATCTGTCCGTAAATCGTCACCGAGTAGTATTGGATGGCCGACACGCCCGTCATCTGCACCGAGGCTTGGAGCGCACAGCACAGAAACAGGCGACGGAAGGCCGATCGGTTGGTGAAGAGCTCCAAGTAAGACTTGGCTTCGTGTTCGTGTTCGTGCAAGATCGAGGCTTGGATTTGTTCGTACTCGGCCACCACCCAGGGGTCGGCCTCGTCGCCGTGCGAGTGGAGTTGCGCGAGGGTCTTGAGCGCCTGTTCGGACTTGCCGTGGTCCATGAGCCATCTGGGATTGGTGTTAGTTGTGGGAAAAGTATATACATATAAATATCTCGGAGAGAGGAGTGGGAAAAGTATATATGCCACAGAGAGGAGTTGGGAAAAGTACATATAAATATATGCCACAGAGAGGGTTGGGATGGGATGGGATAGAATGAGTAGAGCTGCCATGCTGAAAGATAACCAGCGGAAGAAGGAATAGGATGGGCTAGGATAGGATGGGATAGAGTAAAGCTGCCAGGCTGAAAGATAACCCCCCGAAAAAAGGAGTTGGGATGGGACGGGATGGGATGGGATGGCTAGAGGAGACCTGCCAGGCTGAGGACCAACCACCCGAAAAAAGAGCAAGGTAAGAGTTGACTGTACATCACGTACCTCGGAGACTCCGGGAATAAAAAGATCAAGGCGCCCAGAAACACGGCCGGAATCATCTGCAGCCCCAGCGGCACTCTCCACTGCGCGCTGCTGGTCTTGATGTGCACGTAGGTACCCCAGGAGATCCAGGCGGCCACAAGGGCGCCGACGCCCAGCATGAATTGCTGCAAGGCCGTGATGCGCCCTCGGATGCTGGGATGGGCCAATTCGGCCTGGTACAAGGGGATGACCATGACGAGGAAGCCGACGCCCAATCCGGCCAGAAAGCGGCCGGCCCAGAGGAAATGAATCGTCTCGGCCCCGGTCTGCAGCCCGCCGCCCAGACAGAAGACCACACATCCCACCACGATGGTCCACCGGCGACCCAGGTAATCTCCGCTGGGACCGCCGAGCCCGGCGCCGAAGAAGGCGCCCGTGGTGAACATGGACACCACCAGGCCCGAGGAGGTGGCGTCGGGTTTGAACTTGGACACGAAGGTGTTGCTGGCCACCACTTCGGCAATCACCCCCAGATCGTAGCCATAGAGGTACGAGCCCAGTGAGGCAAACACACTGACGAGGAATTGATACCACTTGGGAGGAAGCGCCATGGTGGTGGTGTTGGCGGTGGCGGGACCGACAGAGCAGATGTAGTAGATTCTCAAAGGGAAGGAGACGAGGCTCGATATGTCTCTTTATAACCAGGATGGTGTGTTTGTATGGGTGTGTTTGTGTGTGTGTGTATCTCTGTGTCTGTGTGTCTGTGTTTCTGAGTGTCTGTGTCTTTGTGTCTGTGTGAGTCCAAACAGCGACTGTTGAACAAGTTATATGTGTAGCCAGGACCTCGATAGAGCAGCGGAGGCCCATCCAAAAGCCTCCTAAGCCGCGCTAGACTCCCGCAATTTTTCCCACACGAGTCACATCCCCGCAAGAAAGGAGATGGCACCAGACCACAGCCAATGCGAGGACGATGGAGAGCAGCTGGGACCGGGAGTGTGCCAGTGTGAACTGCATCGCTCCCAGGTCGCGGTGGCAGAGTCCGACGGACCAGGACCAGCGAGATGGCCATCAATCGAGATGGCCACTTGGCTTGGTTGTGGGGGACGAGAATCTCCGGCGGAGGAGAAGGGGGGCGGCGCCCAAAGAGGCAGTTGTCCGGTGTGGTCACATCACCTGTCCAGTGTCAATGAGGACTCGGCCGATTCGTGGAGAACTCCCCTGGGGCAAGGGGGGCAACCCTCTTTGGAGTCTGGACCTCCTCCTCCTCCTCCTCCTCCGGCACCGGGCTCGAGGGCCGGACCTTCGCCCAAAGCAGAAATGGCTGACCACTGGCCTCTTGCTTCCCTCTAGCCCGGCCGGTGGTCACGGTACGTACATCAACAGCCTCGCGAGGCATCGATTCTCCATCCCATCCGTACTGCCCTGAGTACCTGAGATTCGAAGTGCCTGGGTTTGCCCTCGGAGCCATCATGACCACCTTCAGCCTCACCACCAGTTCTTCCCCTTCCATCGCCATCTTTCCCTCCCACAAGGTGTCGAGGATCAACCGCAATATATATTCGGGCTTCACCGAGCACATGGGCCGCTGTATCTACGGTGGAATCTACGACCCGGGCAACCCCAACAAGCACCTGCTCGACTCTCGCGGGTTTCGACAGGACGTCCTGGAAGCTCTCCGGCCCCTCCAAGTCCCCGTCTTCCGCTACCCCGGAGGCAACTTCTGCGCGACCTATCACTGGCAAGATGGCGTCGGTCCGGTGCAGGATCGTCCAGCTAGACCCGAACTGGCCTGGGGGAATGTCGAAACCAACCACTTTGGCACCGACGAGTTCATGCAGTGGTGTCAAGCCGCCAACGCCGAGCCGTACCTGTGTCTGAACTTTGGCACCGGCACCCTGGACGAGGCCATGGCCTGGGTCGAGTACTGCAACGGCACCAAAGACACGTACTATGCCAACCTGCGGCGCCAGAACGGCCACCCGGACCCCTACCAGGTCAAGTACTGGGCCTTGGGCAACGAGATGTGGGGGCCCTGGCAGATCGAGCAGATGACCCAGGAGGCCTACGCCGAGCGGGCGGTGCAGTGGGCAAAGGCCCTCAAGCTGCTCGACCCCTCCATCCAACTGATCCTGTGCGGCAAGGAGGGCGCCACCTCTTGGGACTACCACACCCTGAAACGCTGCCTGCAGCCCGCGGGCTTGAGTGATCTGGGCGAAGAGCGCCTGCCGCTGGTCGATATGCACAGCATCCACCTGTACACCGCGAGCCACGACCACTACGAGAACGTGACCGCCCCGCTGGCCGCCGAGCGGAGCATCGAGGTCTGCTCCGGCCTGATCGACCTGGCCATCGTCGAGAACAAGATCCCTGCCTCGCAGAAAAGACCAACCATCTGCTTCGACGAGTGGAATGTGTGGTCCCCGCCGCGCGCCCCCGGCAGCCAAGGCGCCGAAGAAAAGTACACCCTCTCGGACGCGCTCGCCGTGGCGGTCTGGTTGAACGTGCTGGTTCGGAAGTCGCGCGACGTGGGTATGGCCTGCATTGCCCAGAGTGTCAATGTCATCAGTCCTCTCATGACCACGGACACCGGCATTATCCGACAGACCATCTGGTGGCCGTACGAGCTGTTCTGTCGGTTCATGAAAGGCCACACAGTCGCGGTGCATGTGGCCTGCGAGGCATATGCCGGCTCGACAAAGCCGGACTGGGTGAGGGCGGTCAAGGATACGCCCTGGCTCGACGTCAGTGCCACCGTGGACGACGATGGTTGGGTCAGTGTCTGTGTGGTCAACATCCACCGGGAGTCCGACCTGATGACGCGGCTGGGAGGCGTAGACGGCCAGAAGGTCAAAGTATACACGATCACGGGGGGGCATCCTGAAGTCACCAACATGGCGGGAACAGAGGAGGTTGGATTGAAAGAATCAGATTGGGACCCAGACCCGAGCCAGGACTTTGCTTTCGTATTTCCCAAGTGTTCCGTAACAATGCTGAGGTGGAAAATGCAATAGTAACCAACATTGGGGTGGCACTCCAGCCACTCACATTAGAAAGTATCCAGTCTCATCCAGCCTTTCGGAGTTCCGCCAGCCTGGTCAAAATGTCATGGTATTCTCGACTCACCCCCCAACATGCCAGCCTGGTTCGTAACAATTTAGCCCCCTCGAGCAGAACCTTCTGTGGCGTCTTGCAGATGTCGCCCACATTGCTCATGTGTCCCGACATGTTGTGGCCGTTGCGCACAAAGTGTTGGATCATCTCGTCATCGCACGGACGGTCCAGGTGGATGAATTCCGGCTGTTCGTCGGAAGAAGAGCTTCCTTCGTCGCCATCAGAATCCGAGCTTTGGGGGGGAGAAGAGGGCGAGGGGGGCCCTTCGCCTACAGATCTGATGGCTGCTGTAGCTTGAACACCTGCGGACGCTATTGTGGCGTGCGATGCTGACGAGGCTGGATTGGGTGAAATCATCGAAACAGAATTGTTTTCTGGCCGAGCCGCGGCGGCCTTGTTGGTGGATCTGACCGGATGTTGCTTTCTCTCGATGCGAGAAGGCTGGATGGCAGCACCGGCATCAGGTCCACTTGGCCCCCCCTCGGGTCGGTGATTCGCAGCCGCAGCGTCACGTTCCAAAGCGGCAGACTTGTAGGAGCCATAAGTCCAGAGCACGAGAGAAGCAAGGTATACGGCGACAGGCTCGAAGAAGCTGGTGGCGGAATATCGCCGGACGTACCAGAATACCGAGCCTGCATGAACCATGGCTAGTCGGGCCTTATGTTGGTCCTCTCGTAGCCAGCGCCAGGTAATCTTGCGGATCTGGGGCAATTTGGCGCTGTTTCGTGGTTGGTAGCTGCCGTCGTGCACGTAAAAGGACGCTGTCGAGGAATTGTCCACCTTGCCGATCAGCGAAAACAGCAGGTCTTGTATCTCCTGGAATGGCGTGAGAAGAATGATGCGGGCCAGGTGGAGGTGGAGGACGACCGGGTGTTCCGCCCCCGAGGCTTTGGCCACGACGCTGGAGGCCTGCCATTGCAGCACATCGAGACAATCACAGGCGCTGTTTCGCCAGTTCGCATACAGCGGGTACAGGGGAAGCCAGAAGTTATCTTTAGACGGAGTATTCAGGAACCCTCGAGCCTTGCCGGTCGGAACCCATTCGCTGAGTGGCTGTTTGATGTGGGTGCCGACCTCCCAGGTGCGTAGGTAGAGAGCATGTATCAACAAGGTCTGCGACAGCTCACTGTACGTGGGGTCGACTTTCTTTTTGTTGTACAGCGTCTCCAGCGCCGCACATAACGACGGCGTCTTGGGCAGTCCCCGTGCTTCCTGCGCCCAGGCTTCGGGCGAGGCTGCATCCCAGGCACATTCGGCACACGGCAGTGGTGTCCGCGCATCGTCCAGGTTGCATAACGGCCGAGCATTGGCCATGTACCCAAGGCAACAGTCCAGCATCCATGCCATGTAGCCGATGCGGCGTAACGACTCTGCCCTGATCCAGTTCTGCCACGATTGCAGGCGGTTGTCCTTGCTGCCGTGCATGTCGGCCTCTGGTAAATCCCCGGATTCCGGAAGTTGAAGTATACCAGACTCTAGACACCAGCGCGAGAGATCTGCATGGTACCGCGGCGCCATCGATCGTAGTTGATCGCGGTCCGACTGCACAAGCCCGATCAGGTTCAGCAGTCTGGCTTGTGCCAGTGGAATATCCAGGGACACGTCTGGGGCGCCATCTGCATACAGTTGTACAGCACGGCGTAGGAATTCCTGATAAGCTTCCCGAATCTCGAGAGCTTGAGGCCCCTTCGAGAAGGTACTGCCTATAGCAGCCACCGCCAGGACCACAATCCAATGTGTCTGAAGCCCAAAAGATGCTCGATGCACAAGAGGGTGGGTGTGATGGAAATGGGAAAAATATAGGGCGATACAGGCATTGAGGGTGTAGATGCTTGGAAATTCGCTCCTTTCAAAGGTATCAGGCAACGCATTTTCCCCACACAGGGTTCGGAAGATGCTCGAGAGTGTGTCGTATGAAGTCTGGGAGCAGTAGTCTCGATCCTCGCCGGCGGATATTACGCTCGAAGGATCCAACGGAGTTGGGAAAGCATAGCCGGTTCTCTGTTCCCTCGGCTTACTGAAGACATCCGGGGCGAAGGAGACTTTGCGCTTCCTGCGTCTGGTGTCCGACGTCGTAGTTGCATTGCTACTCGGTTTCGCCGCGTTTAAGCCGTCGCTTGTAGATGAGGCAGGACTTTGTTCCACTGCCATCAAGGACGCTGAAACTGCTTGATTGTCGGACATTTCTGGGGCCACGTTCGTGGGCGCCTGATATACCTGAGCTGCAGGGTCGAGCGGGACCGCCATCCCATATTCCGTGCCGAGGTTGGGAGTGTCGGACAGAGAGGGCAGGATGAAGGAAAAGTCCTGTTCGAGCTCGGCATCGTAAGGCGAGGGATAAATGCTGGGTGGGATCCAATTTAAAGGCTCATCGAATGCTGAATAGTCGTAGCTGGAGGCAGGTCCGACAAACCCGGGGTTGAACTGGGATGGAATTTGCACGTCCCCGAAGTTCTCGGGCTGCAGCATTTGACTAGGGGTAGAGTTGATCGTGGCCACCTCCATAGACGTCTGTTCATTGTGGGGGACTGTAATGTTGCCGGCAGCGTAGTCTTGGGGAAAGCCTGGCTGTATAAAGGACGAGTTCACCGGCACCGCGCCGGGGACTGCGCCCGGCAAAACCGTCGAGACAGGTGACTTCCTCGCGTGGCCATTGGACACGTGTTGGACTGGCTCGCTCTCTGGGAAGACCAGTTGGCTGAAATGTCCTAGAGCTTGCTGCGGTGGTCTGTCCTCCTCGACTCTGGCGCACTCACCCGGCGTCGAGCCCTTCCGCCGCTTATTGGGGTAGCTGCATTCGATGTTGCGGACATTACATCGTCCACATGGCATCCCACCTGAACATCGTGACCGCGCCGTAGCACAGGCACGACAGGCTCGAAATGTGCCGTGGGTGACCCGATGGACGGGGCCCCGGTCCTCGGTCGCTTGATGGCTCTTCTCGTGCCGGAGCAGGGTGTCGGAGCGGGCAAACGTCTTTCCACAGGTGGCACATGCCGCAGACCGCTCACTGGATTTGTCCGGGGCGCTCTGCCTCATGCCTACAATGCACGAAGCCTGGCCGACAGCATCCGCAAGCGAGTCTCTTCGTAGCTAGGGCGCACCGGTCTTCTAGGGCGGCATGGCGGGTGGAGGTATTCGAGGGACAAGCTCCCGTGAAGTCAATGTACTGTATCTGTGTAGTCTGGGTCCAGCTCGGATCATGGGACGTGGGCTGGGCAGGAGGTGCCCTGCGCATCTGGCGCAGCAGTGAAAACGCGGGGGACGGCACGTGATCTTAGAGCACGTGATCCTACATCACGTGACATGGATTTCAAGTTTGGGTACTTAAATCAGATTGTACAAGGCAAAAACAACGAGGGTCGGACGTAGCACGGAGCACATAACTGAGTTCTAAAAATTGCTGCTTTTGATATTGGTCATGTAAGCTAGTAGTAGTACAGAGCCTGGAAAGGCATGACACCTTCCCGGGTCATGGTCCTCATCTGTTGCCAGGGCCGCTGGTTAGAGAACTTTGATCTTGGCTGTCCGGGAAGAAATACGCCCCAACGCTGTTGACAGATTGTTAGCATATCTGGCGGAAGGACCAGCCGGAAACGTCATGATCACTTACGCAATGATAATGTAGCACGCACACAACAGTGCGCCTTCGAGGTAATTGCTCCGCCCGTCAAGGACGAGAAAGTTGACGATGAAAGTTGACACAAACAGCGACCCTGTCTCGAACAGGCTGAAGTAAAGAGACATGTCCTTGTCCAAAATCCAACCAAGGATGACCACAACCGGGGTGACAAACAGGGCGATTTGGATCGAGCTGCCGAGGGCGACGCCCAGTGCCAGGTCAAGTTTGTTCTTCGCCGCAACGGTCACGGCAGTGACGTGTTCGGCGGCGTTGCCAACAATGGGCAATATAATCAGCCCGACAAAGGCCTCAGATAGGGGCGAGTTTTCTACCAGGTGCTCGATGCTGCCCACGAGGAATTCTGCACAGAGAGCAACAAGAGCAGTCGAGACGAGGAGAAGGATGATAGAAGCGGTTTGCCCCATCGGAGGTCCATCATCGACTTCCGCGGCGATGCTGGGGGGAACAGGCCGAGCGTGAGGAGCCGAACCACGGCGAGAGTGGTGGGCACGGTCAGGATTTGATCGATATTGTCGAAGGGTATGAGACTCGTGTTCCGACGGCATGTTCCTTGCAGTGGGAAGTGTCGAAGAGCGAAAGACTGGCGGGGTGCGAATAGAGATCCCGCGAGGTCCTAGAGTTGGCGGCTTCCCTTTGCCTCTAGCATGTGTGGCATTCGTCGACGCGACCACCGGTGGCATCGGCTCCGACTCCATTTCCTCCGGTTCTTCTGTCTTTTCCGCCAGGATATCTGTTGAAGCTAGATCGCTCTGACCAGCAGCCTCAATGTCTGCCTCAGGCTCAATCTCGATTCTCTCGTGCCTCTTCCTGCCCAGCTGCATCCTCAGTCTCTTGCGGACGCGGCGCTGCGATCCTGCGCTACAGGTTGAAGCCCGCGAGGACATGGCCGACGAAGAGCTGGTCGAGTCAAAGCGAGCCAGAAACCCGGGGACTGCTTCCTCATCAATGACATGCTGAGGAGTCCCTTGATAAAGGTATGCATGTGATTTGAGTTGGAACAGTAGGTAAAGAAAGTAGATGATGAGAAGAATCACCGAAGTCCCTCGGCTGAGTTTGATGACGGCCCGATCTGCGGCCGCCAGATCATTAAACGAGGCGTGAAAAGCCGTCTGCATCCAGGGTTAGTTTCCATGAAAACCCCTGGGACAACAACCTTACCGGGATCAATAAGCTCAGAACCGCGAGCGCCAACAAGCAGGCGGACATTTGGGTGACGGTGCTGTCGTATATTTGCTCGCGATATTCGAGACCGCCAATGACGAATGCCATGCCCAAGATCAAAAGCAAATTCGCCAGGAGAGATCCGATGAGAGAGGCTTGGACAATGCGAATCTCGTTCTTGACCAAAGCAATGATGAAGATGATCAGCTCCACCGCATTGCCAAAACTGACATTCAGCAAAGCACCCAAGGTCGGACCCAGTCGATGGGCAACACTCTCAGTCGCAAGTGTTAAGAGGCCGGCCAAGGGGATGATGGCAACAGCGTTCAAGGCGAAGACAACGTTGGGATCGACCCCAGCAAAATGCACGGCAATACCAACAGGCACAAACACGAGCAAGACATTGACCCAACTGTGAAGCAGTGCCGTCTTGACGTTTGCTAGGACGCGTGTTACTACCGAGCTTTTCGGCTGTTCTTGGTCGCCCGACTCAGACTGAGCATTTTGGGGCGGCCCGGACACGTTGCTCCTGGGACCAGGGGTGCCATCGACCTGAGACCAGGGATTGAATTTGTTCTTGTGAGCGGCCGAATGTGCCCAGGCCCGGACTCGATCTGTAGCATTGTCAGTAAGATAGCTCCTGCCAGGGCCATCTGTGTGGTTAAGGAAGCCTACGTACACATTGCTATTGAATAGGGGTGTCGAACAATGGCATCACTCCAACGAAAGATATGGACGTACGCTAACGAACGGAAAGAAGAGCAAAGGTATCCTGTCGAAATCCAAAGGACCGCCGCAAGGAGCAATTGAAGGAGGCTATACGGAGGATGGAGGTAGTTGAGGGCTGAAGGTGTGACGTTGAAGTTGGCGGCTCATTGCACACAGAAAGCCATGCCATGCCATGCAATTGATGGTGATGGAAAACAAGAAATCGACAAACTTGGCAAGGCCACAGCCACCACCACGCCGCGCTTACCAAATTGAGGCTTGGCGTCCTGCGGGTGATTGCTTATGATGTCACATTTCGACCCGTGCCTTGTGCCTGATGCCTGATCCAATCACTTTGTGTTTCACCATCCCACTAGGCCAAATCTAGGCTAGCGTATCAGGCCCCATGAGACTCGCTTTCTATTGGACAAGCTGAGACCCCAAGTGTCTCCTACTACGGCGTACACATACTGCTGAATATGGAAGAAAGAGAGACATCTCTTCGATGCGCCTAGGATGGTTCCATAGACTGCTGCTGATAGGCATTGTTTAAGGGTTTCGGAAGCGTGGTGCCAATCCTCTTAGTTATAGAATCGTCAAAGAGTCCAAGAGCCAAAGCAGTCGCAGTTCTAGCTCTATGGAGTGTATATGTGTAGATATCTAGTCTTCACTCCAGTCTGGGCCAGGATCAAGGCTGATACCTGGGGCTTTCCAAGAATCGCAACGGAGACACTTGCTCTGCTGGCTCCGATCAAATGTGCGCCTTCAAATAAAATGGGACGGCACTCCCGACTTTCTCCAGATGGTGCGGCCGTCTCCGGGGTCTTCCTCCCCAGGTAGGATTTCCCGCAGCAGATCGTTGATATTCAGCCCGCGGTCTTTTGCAGCCTGCCATTGCCGAGGGTACCCCAAGCTCACTTCTTCAAATCTCACCCCGTCAATCCAGTCTGTGCGTCGGACGTGTAGGTGACCCGTAACCACGACCTTTGCATTGAAGCGGGTATGCCAGTCTTGGGTTCTCGTGGTGCCGCACCATAAACTGAACCTTGGTATGCTCGGTATGGTAATCAAATCTTCTCGCAGAGGCCAGTGGTTGATAATCACTAGCGGAAAGCCTCGTGCAGCAGCGGCTGCTAGCCGCTCTTCCGTCTTCCCGACCAACTGCTCACACCACGCATCTCGACTGGCGTACGGGTCCGGGTGTAGAAGAGCTTCATCGGTTGCATAGACATTTTCCTCCATGGCCCAGTCGAGGGCCTTTTCTCTCGTCACGTCGGCTGGTCTGAAGCTGTAGTCGTACAGCGTGAAGATCGGGCAGATGATGCAAGGTCCGCCCTCGCCATCCCATTTCACAAATTCATCCTCTGGAGTGATGACGCCAAGCTCGTTAGCGACTCGCAAACATTCCTGGTATTTGAATTCCCCTCGGAGCTCTTTGTCCAAGTCATCTTCCGTTGTGATCCCGGGTAATGTGTACAGCTCATGATTTCCGGGCACCCAGAAGACTTGCTTGAAGAGTTCCGTAGTGGTTTTGAAAGCTTCTTGCAAGTGTTCCAGACGTTCGCCAACATCCCCGCATATGATCAAGCCATCTTCAGGGTGGGGTTTGAGCTCGTCCAATGCCTCACGGTTGTGCTTGTAGCTGAGGTGGAGGTCGGAGATGGCATAGAGGCGCATAGTGACCGCGGATCCCAAGAAGGGACGCTACTCACTGCTGGCCTTGCTAGGCTCGGGCTGATTGTGGTTCAGAGTTGATTACCAGTCAGGTCAATTGATTGGAAGATATTGTGTGCGTTGCAAGGTTGTATGATTTCATTTGTGGTATCAAGGGATCGCAGCTCCAATGTCAGCGTGAAAAGGCAAGCACAAATCGTGGATCTACAGAGGAGATTTCACTTCGAATACGCCTCTCTGTTGAACGGCGTGACGGAATCAAGAATGTCTCAAGCCTGATGTTGGATTCCCGGAACGGAAGAAATGGTTTCCCCGAACAGCTGATTAAGCGCCGAGAGCAAGATGCAATCTTATCTTATCAGTGAGCACCGCTGCGTTAGGACTAATAATAGGCATCTCGTACCCTTGGTGCATCCTTTCATTTCCTCCCTGTGTGGGTAGGTTTGGTAGTCGTCATGTTCCTTTCTGCGTCAAGGTGACCAGCTCAGTCCAAGCAAGCCTAAGACACATGGTCAGCGCAGAAGTCCACGGCGAGATGTGTTAAGAGAAGGTAAGGGGAGCTGCAGAACTGTCTAACATTGTGACCCGTCTTCCTCTTTCAAGCTTGTGCCTTGAAACCCTTCTGTGATAAGTGCTAACCAATGCTACACCACTGCTAATCGAGCAGGAAAGCTTCAGGCGAGTCACGCAGACCTAATTCCCTAAAACGGCAGCTCAGTCCGATCACTCCCACTCTATAATATCACACGGTTACAAAAGCCTCCCACTGTACTCCGTACACAGGACAACATACTCTCTACACAGACTGTCAAGTACGTCAGAATCGGCTCGAGACTAGCAGAGCCTCCAGAGCGATGAATGTGTGGCCAACCACCGACCTTTGATACCTTTCCATGGACAGATTTGTGTCTACTGAATGCCGAGCCGAGTAACACGAACATCAGAGAGCTCAAGAGAAAGATAGATGGAAGCAATAAAAAGCGTGGAGAACGAAGACAATACAATACAAGCTGCACGGACAATGGTACTCAGCAGGGAGCTCTGACCTACACCTAACCTGATTGAGGTGGTAACATGATCGCTCAATCCGGGGAAGAGTCTCGGCAGTGACCACACGAATCACCCTCCTTCTGTCGAGGCCCGGCCCCCGGCTTGGGCTTATAAGGTTTCTTGTCTGCAAGGTCGATTAGTAGTTGGCGCTGTTCTTCGAGGTCTTCGCCACAATATGTCAAGATGCGGTGGAGATGATGGTTTGCAACCAACATGGCGTAGCAAGCACTGTGCAGGAAACCCGGAATGTTTCATGGAGCAGGGCTTAGAGTTTGGCTTACTGCAGACAGGATTGCCATAGGAATACTTTTGTGCAAAGTACCATCGACTTCGGAGTCGGGTCACATGTCTTTATTTCCGAGAGGCGGCAACCTGGAGGAGCTGGAAGCCCGATCGAGCTGCCTGGATTCGGGACTTTTTCTCTTGGTACCAGATTGACTCCAACTCAAAAAGAACCTGGAGGATCATGCGACCAGGATCCAGGATCATATGTATCGATAACGTTATTGAATGTGCTGCCCGGCACGCTTGAACCTCAACCTCCGGTGGCTGGCAGGCGGCAACAACAGCCGACCTTGTCCTGTTCTGTTCTGGATCTACGCCCAGAATGCGGAGAGCGAAGCGAGGTGATAATCCGCAACGGTCAAGCCGCCGCTGCTTAAGAGTTAGCGTTTCTATCGGTTCGCATGCCCTGTCGCCTTCAAGTTGGGTGGTATTCCATATTGTGTAGACCCATCCCCGGAAACCGACAAGCAAGCCGGGGGTTATAGAAAGCAACGACTGTACCGAGTACACATGCATGCGCCTGATGCATCTTATGCCCAGGTCGAGGTCGAGTGATGATGACGTGGGTGGCACTCTCTCATGATGGCTGGTGGGCACATGGAGCAATCGCTTGGAGGTGAGTGGTGATGGCTCCGACTCGCCAACAAGGATTGCGCAAACGCGAGTCCGCCAATACGCTAATGCAACGTCAGGTGGTTGGAATGCTGGCAGGCTGGCATCGTTTCTGCGGGAGCACGGCCGCTCTGTCTCAGTCGTTCGCCTCTTCGAACGCACTCTCTCTCTCTACATAGCTCGAAGAAGGCACTCACACTTCGACTGCCTCGGCCTAGCGGTTGATTCACAGAACCCTCGAGGCCACTGTTATCCCTCCATTGGTTCCTTCCGAGCAGGGTGCGATCGATATCCGATCCGGTGGAGAGGATAGCGTGAAGCTTACAGTTGAATCCACTAGGCTGCGGTCGTTTCGGCTTCTCCAGAAAAACTGAGGATGCTACGTACCGCTATGAAGGTGGGGGAGACAACATCAAAGCCATCCATTCATCCATCCATCCCGAAATGCCATCCACTTGCCTGCCCTTCCGGACCACCACCTCAGGCTTCAGACCACTGTCATTCGCAGGAGCCCGCGTTCCATGTCCTCAACACTTGTCGATTGGGGGTTTGCTGCTGTCATAGACCCGGCTTAGTGGGGCACCAACGAACCCAGGGTCTGAGTGCACGCACCTGCTACATACAGAATCCGTCCTGTGGGAGTTTCCTTCAGTGCCGTTGCAGTTGATGTTGGCGGTATTTTAACGGTACTTCCTGTGGAATTCCCGCTCATATGGTTTGGCGAGAAAGCTACAATCGATGAAAAGCTCTGTGCTTCGCCGGGCAGGTCCGGTCACGCACCAATTGTTCCTCGCCACGGGCTCCCCGGGGCGCCGTCCATTGGATAGGAAGGTGGATAAGTCGACTTCAACAACGTCTTTCCACCTCTCTCTGAGACATGCATGCATGCATATCCGGCAATCTATGCAGGAAGTGGCTAGATCCTGCGGCGATACTCTAATCGAGTGGAGTGATGGTACAGCCTAGGTGAGGATGCAAGTGAGTGCACTGATGCTCATCCGAGGACTCTCAAAGAATCAAAAGACCGTTTCATTACCAAGCTCGGCCGATCTCCTTACAGAGTACTGACAGCCTTCATCCACGCTACTGATGTAGTCTCATTCTCATACATCGGTTAAGCATCCTTCTCGCAGCCTTGTCGGATCACGCCTTGTTTTGCCGGACTGCACAGTAAAAGCAGCCATGAGCGACACCAACACCACCACCTGCTATGGTATAAATCCTATCCCTCGAATCCAATACACACAGTGCAGTGCAGTGCCCTCAATAGCCCTACAAACAGGCAGGTATACGTTGTTCAGTCAAAGATACTGCGCCGCACCGCAGCACATTTGCACATTTTGCTACACTGAATATATTCACGCCGGGAAGTTCCGATCGAGGATTCGGGATTATCCATAATCATGTCCCAATTGAACGAACACTGTTGACACTGAGCACTCGAGAATATATATGTATCAAATGGCATTATTGACACTACACCACTGGAGACTCGTTGACTTGTTGCTTTGATACCCTGATGCAATATTACAATTAAAGCTCTTCCGGCCAGCTGTGACGATAATCACGCCGGCGACCCTACATACTATCAATCCAGTACTCGATCCTGCATGACCGCAAGAACTGCCAACACTACCGGGGATGGCACGACGAAAAAGAAGAGGAAAAGGCTATGCAGAATTGGACGCTGACACTGACACCGGCCGGGGGCATTTCATGCTTTTTCCATCCTTGCCATTCATTACATTATGCGTTCCAAATGCCGCTTCTCCCTTCGTGCCAAACCAAAGTATGCGTTGTAAAATACCACTTCTCCCTTCATGCTAAACCAAAGCACGGGCCATGCGTTTTGTTCCCCCCTGCAGCATGCATATGTGTACGGAGTCGGGATGTATGTCATGGACAACATCGACATGGACAAACGGTTTCCAAAGAGTGTGGGGTGAGGTGAGGTGGTGTGGTGTGATCAATAAGATCAAGATGGCGACAAATGCACAGAATAACGAGTCAAGTCCAAAGTCAGAGAGATGGATCGATGAAAGGCAGATGGACAGAGATGCACTCCACTCATGCGAGAAAGCTGAAGGTTCAGAGTTCAGAGGGCAGTCCATCACCATCCGAACTGCGATTCCAATCCCGTCGATCAGATTCAGAGGAGCGCAATGGCGCCCACAATCCCCGCCGCAACTGCGAGGCTGCCAGACAGTGTATCGCGGGGCGCGGCTCCCGTGTAGGTGGCGGGCGCGGCGGAGCTGGTGCCCGTGGCTGATGCGGCCTCGACCGTCGCCGTCGGGGCCTGCGGTTGGCCGTCTGAGATCTGGGAGACAGGAGTAGCAGTCGGGGCCTGTGGCTGACCATCCGAGATCTGGGATACCGGCGCGCCTGTCGGGGCTTGAGGTTGACCGTCGGAGATCTGGGAGACAGGGATAGCTGTCGGGGCCTGAGGCTGACCATCCGAGATCTGGGACACTGGCGCGCCGGTGGGAGCTTGTGGTTGCCCGTCTGAGATCTGCGAGACGGGAGTGCCCTTCGGTGCCTGTGGTTGACCATCCGAGATCTGGGACACCGGAGTCGCAGTGGCGGTTGGGGCCTGAGGCTGGCCGTCACTGATCTGCGAGACCGGAGCGCCAGTAGGAGCCTGAGGTTGACCGTCGGAAATCTGACTGACTGGGGATCCGGTTGGGGCCTGAGGTTGGCCGTCGGAAATCTGACTGACTGGGGATCCGGTTGGGGCTTGAGGCTGGCCGTCGGAGATTTGAGAGACCGGGGCGCCGGTGGCAGTGGCAGCTTGGGGCTGACCGTCACTGATCCTATTGCCAGTTAGAATCCATTCGGCTGAGAGACCCGATGTCGATCTGAAGCCACGTCTTGACTTACTGGGTCACTACGGCAGTGTTTCCTTGGGGTTGGCCGTCACTGATTCTGGTCGAGCATCAGTATCTCTTCGCTCTGGCCGAGGCATGCAACCCTCGGAGTTGGGGGGGAGAAAGGAGAAAGAAGAACTCACTGGGTGACAACGGCCGAGGTGACCTGTGGTTGACCGTCGGAGATCCTGTAAGGCAGCACAGCACGAGTAAGTACATGTCCCAGACAATTCTTATCACCCTTGGTCACTCAGAAAGGGACGCTTATCACCCCCGGGTCACTCGGGAAAGGGAGGGTCGACTTATCACCCCCGGGTCACTCAGAAAAGAAAGGGCCGACTTACTGGGTGATAGAGGGAACCACGGTCGTAGCGGCCGGCTGACCATCGCTGGCTTGAGTTGCTGGCGGAGCTGAAGACCCGATCAAGGCCACGAGATAAATCGGGAAGCAGTGGTCGGCCCATTTGCGGTCCTATATCGTCGCAGACAGGAAGGTCAGCCATGTCATGTCACTCACACTCATTCCAAGATGCAGATCCAGATGCGGTCTGTCCACCGGTTGGCTCGTAGCAGCCAGACAGACGACCAAGTCGAAGCGCAGCATTGAGGTTGAGGTTGAGATTGTGTCTCGAAGTACAGCATTGAGGTGGAGATTGTGGCTATGACTATGACGGGTGGGATGAGAGGAGGATAAGCATATCGGCTTACGTAGAGGTTATAGAAGCTTCCGCTCAAGCACTCGTACCTTCCGAGCCATGTTAGGATACTTATCGTGTCAAGTCAGAGCAGATCAGGGCCATAAGGACATACCAAATAGCAGAGCCTCCCAGGGCGAGACTGTTGTTCGAGCAGAGCGAGAAGCCAGAGGTGTAGATGGCACCGGCTTGGGGCGGCGCGTCGAACTGGAACTGATAGTTGGCGGCAACGTAGCCGGTTCGGTCGGCTTGGTCAGTGAGCACTGAGCCCGAGAGCTTGAGTGTAAGGACGCCGTCCTTTTGACGCTGTAGCATAGGAGTGTCAGACCCTGAGCATGGGACGTGGGACGTGGGTCATGGAACAGGGGCAAAGGACAGGCAAAGACACAATGGGCAAGGGACAGGCAAAGGTCTATATAACATAACATGACATGACACAACAACACGGTAGTGGGATGGTGCAAAGCACAGTGTTAGGGTTATAGTATAGTATGGGATGAAGTAGGGCAAGATGGATTCGACTTGGTGGAAGATTAGGGACGGGAGCATAGGAGGGACAATGGATGCTGATGCTGATGCTGATGCTGGACGGCGACGAACCCTTTCCACCGCTCTCTTGGACGTGGTCGACGACGACACATTCACGACGGTGATCTCAAAGGTCCCATCATACGATGACTGGCATCCTTCCGGTGGACCGCTCGAAGGGGCAATGGCGGAGGTGACTGCCTGAGGCAGGGCCGAGGCGAACTTGAATGAGACAGCCGAAGCCAAGAGGAGGACGAGCGATTGACGCATGGTCGACAAAGAGAAAGAGATCCGAGGAATGGACAACTATAGTATATGTTGCTGAGGTAGGTAGGTGGTAGGTATGCACAACTGACTGCTCGAGATGCTGGGCACAACTGACTGCTTGAGATGCTGGGGTGGGTTGGGTTGATATGCCCGATACGATATGATATGATATGATATCCAAGCAGGTGAGGTGAACGAGGTATCCGTATGTCCACGTCAAATAACGATAGTGAGGGCAGACCAGGTCGACGTTTGAAGCGAGCGATCGATTGTTGCTGCCGGCCGGAAGGGTAACGGAGGAAAAGATGAAGAAGAAGAAGAGGAAGAGGAAGAGGAAGACGGCCGGCTCGTCCGCTGGCCACCTTTAAAGCATCTCAAGACTCGGCGGAACAGAAGGTCTGTCTCGCCGTCTCGCCATCTCTCTCCATTGCTCGGCCGCCCGCTCAGAAGAGGATCTCGACAGTCAAGCATGATTCGGTGAGTAGTAGTGATGATGTCGCCATGTTGACAGGTGGGAAGCAGAGGCAGATGCAGAGGCTCCAATCGCCTGCATGGATGGGAACTGGGATGTCGTTCTGTCTGTGACCGTCGGATACCTGCGTAACGCCGATACAGCTCTTGTCCTCTTCAGAACTAGTGGTAAGCAATAGTGGCGGAGGGACGGCAAATGGCGGCTTGAGATTCGCTCTCGCTGCTTTACTGTCACAGGATGGACCCGCTGTCAGCCTTGCCCAGATGATGGCTCCTATTGGTGGGCGAGCGATATATACCAAACTGCCAGCACATGCAGGGCTGATGTCCTGAGGACAGCAGAAACCAAGACAAAGCAGAGGTCGGGAATTTTGAATTTTGACTATGTACTATGTACACGCCGCTGTAAATCTGTCACCACGCTGGTGGTCTCCCTCAACTCAGCCCACCTCGCCCACCGACACTGGCCAAAGCCTTGCGCTGATCCGGGCCAACAGTGACGCGAGGCAAACGCTTCACCGCGCCATCTCGAGAGGCGGCATCAGACGGGGGCGCAGGCAGAAAGCCGATCTCCACCAGATAGGCCAGGTAGAGGCCGATGGTGTTCTTGGTGACGCCGCTCCCCTCGCTGGCATCGACCTTGGTCCACTCGCTGTCCTCGTACAGCGCCTTCTCGGCATTGCGGTCGTCGAGCTCGGGCGCGCGGGTGTTGGAAGGCAGGTCGTTGGCGACAAAAGTGAACAGCGGCATGAGGGCAAAGTCCTGGCGCGAGCTGACGTAGTGCTCCAGCGACGACGCCCAGGGCACATAGTCGACCAGCGTGGCCGTGTAGCCATACGTCTGGAGGGCGGCGAGGTACTGGTTGAAGCGGAGGCGCGGGTGTCCCGTGACGTGGGCGACGCTGACCCCCTGCGCCGAGGGCGGGTGGAATGCGGCGGCGACGACGGTGCGGGCGACGTGGTCGACGGGCACCATGTTGACCGTGTTGTTGATGTTGGGCCGCGTCCCGAGCTGGATGCAGCCCTTGAGCATGCGGATGAGGAAGTCGTCCGTGTTGGTGACCCCCGTCTGCGACGAGCCCAGCACGTAGCCCGGCCGCACGATACAGCCTCGCAGGCCGCGCCGCCCGGCTTCGCGGCTCAGGTACTCGGCCACCCATTTGCTCTGGCCGTAGCCCGTGCCGAGCCCCTTGCTGCTGGCCATCAGGTCGTCGGCTTCGCTGATGCCTTCGCCGCCGGCGGCAATGCTGCGCTCCGACTCGAACACGTAATGGTCGTGGTCGAGCACGCTGGTCGACGAGACAAACGCAAACAGCTTGGCCTTGCCCTCGGCACAGATCTTCATCGCCTCCACCGTCCCCAGCACGTTGGCCGCCTTGAGCATCTCGTACGTGTTGATCCAGTGCACCTGCGCCCCGTTGTGGATCACCACGTCCACCTCCTCCACCAGTTGCTGCCACCTCTGCTCCGACAGTCCGAACTTGGCCGGTCCCAAACTGCCCGCCACGCATTGGATGCGCCCCTCCCAGGAATCCGTCCACACCCCGTACGCCTGGCAGGTCACCTTGACTCGCGACATGGCCGTCTCCTCGTCCTTGGCTCGCACCAGCACGATCACTTTCTGCACTTGCGGTCCTTGGCGGTCCAGCAGGTCCTTTAAGATGTAGGATCCCAAAAATCCTGTAGCACCTGTCAAGAAGACCACGGGAGAGGAGACGCGGGCTGATGGCGCAGCAAAAGATGCAGGCAGCTGTTCGACCATTCGCACCGCATCGGCGCCATACTCGCCTTCAGCCTTGGCCTCGTCGGAAACACCATCGGCCTTCTCGTTCTCCTCGCCGCCTTCCAATGAGTTGGCCGCCAGCATTTGGTCGATGACGGCGGCCATCTCTTTCAACGTAGGTCGGTTGTATATCTTGCTGATGGGGAGATCTGCCCCCAAGGTTCTCCGGACGTGGTACGCGAGTTGTTGTGCCTTCATACTTTCACCGCCGATGTTGAAGAATGATTCCGTTGGTTTGATGGTTCGTGGGGGCAGCCCTGGGACGAGCTTGGCCCAAATATGAGCCAGAGCCAGTTCGGTCTCGGTGAGTTGGTGTGCCGTTGATGATTTGCGTCGTCGGCTGGCAGACAGCAGTGTTGTATCCGGGAAAGGCAGTTTAGGTTTGTCGATTTTGCCGTTTGGATTCAACGGCATCGCCCGCATCGGCACGATGATGGCCGGGACCGCATACGCGGGCAGCTTGGTGCGAAGATACTCTTGGACCTCTTGCTGGAGCAGCCGGAACCGCTCGAACCTGCCCCCGAGCGATCCGTCGTCCTGCTCATCTTGCAGGCCCTTCTCAGCCAGGAACTGCGTCCAGGCCTTAATCTGGGGCACGATGTAACTGACCAGCGTCTGCTCCTCGAACTTGTCTCGCCGCACGAGCGTGACGTTCTCGCGCACCAGAGGATGCTGCGACAAATGGGTGTCGATCTCCCCCAGCTCGATCCGGAATCCCCTGATCTTGACTTGGTCGTCCGCTCGGCCAGAGCACTCGACATCCCCGGTCGGAGTATACCGCCCGAGATCACCGCTGCGGTACAGGCGGTCCCTGGGTCCAAGGTAATACTGCGCCCAAGGCTCGTTCTTGTACTTCGCTTCGAACCTGGCCCGGTCGATAGCTACCCCATTTTCGTGTCCGGGAAACCAGTTCTCAACGAATTTCTGCTTCGTCAGTTCCGGCGTTCCCAGATAACCCTCAGCAAGACCTGATGCTCGCACGTAAATTTCACCGATTTCCCCTACTGCGCACAGCTTGGTCCGGTCGTGCCGATTCACCACCAGCATCTGCACGTTGTACATGCCGCGGCCCGCGGGCACGACATCCTTCATGCCGTCCAAGAAACCGTCTCGTTCATTTCGACTGGGTATCTCATAGTAACTCACAGCTCTTTGCGTTTCGGTCGTCCCGTACATATTGATGATGCGCACATTGGGGGCCAAGTTCTGTAGAGATTTGCAGTCTCTCTTGATCAAGATATCTCCGACAAAGAAAGCATGATGCAGTTGCTCGAATCGCGCCACTGCGCCTCCCACAAGGATCTGACCCATGGCAGGAGTCAGGTGCGTGACTGTTGCGCCATGCTGTTTCATCCATTCGGCCAGGCGTTCGTTCTGGATGTCGTTCTTGGACGGTACCAGCAGCTGTGCGCCTAAAAACAGCGGGGTGAACATATCTCTCTGAATTGGATCATGAGCAATGCCACTGAGCATGGTGAATTTGTCCTTCGCCGAGAGATTGAAGGTCTTCGCCATCCAGTCAAAGTAAAAGGCCAGGGAGAAGTGTCGCCCTCGGACCCCTTTAGGCTTTCCCTCCGACCCGGAAGTAAAAGACAGTGTCGGCGTTGAATCGGGCCCAACCACGACACCAGGACTCTTGGCTTTAAGACTCCGAACAGGTTCAAAGACATCCTTGCCGCCGATTTCGCCTCCTTGCAGACTGCCGTCGTCTCGGAGCCGCAGGGCAGGGACTTCGGTCTTCAGATCCAGATTCTCCTTGATGAAGCCTCGAACTTTGTCGGACAGCTCTCCGGCATCTTGCGTGGCCTTTTCGATGACCACCAACGCTCGCGGCCTGGACACGTCGAGGTAGATGTTTTGTCGGTCTGGAGGGTATGCTGGGTCCAGGACCGAAAACGTCCCACCCGCCTTGAGCGTGCCCATGACCGCAACCACGAGATCGACGCCTCGGTAAGAGTAAATCATCACGACGTCTCCTCTCTCGAGTCCAGATTGGACCAGGTGATGGGCGAGGATGTTGGAGGACTCATGGATTTGTTGATATGTAAACTTGCGCTCAGGGCCGTCCTCCGACTTGGTTTCTACCACGCAAGTCCGTTCAGGATGAGATTCGGCATTGGCTGAAAAAATGTCATGAATAGCGCCTCGAAACGACGACCATTCCAGGTCGTTGGTCGGATCCGGAAGTAGCTTTTCCTCCTCGGAAGTCATGAAAACAATGCGTCCAACCTCAGCATTGACGTCAACTGCTAGGCTCTCCAGAAATCGGGTGATTTGAGCCAAGATCCCTGCTATCCTTGCGCTCGAAAACAGACGTTGGTTATAGCGCGCGGTCAGTCGAAGATCGGATGCTGCCGAGTAAGAGTAGGTCAGTTGTAGGTCAGTGGTCTCCACACTCCCTGGAAGGCTGGCCTTCTCCAGGCCACCGTCGTTGAAAGCAGCAAACCGGAAGAGGGCGGGCTGGTTCAGATGGCCCTGGATGGTCTCAAGCGACAGAGCGTTGGCTGACGCCTGGGAGGACAGCTCTTGGACCCTCTTGAACAACTGGGAGAAGGGCTCTGAGGTGGAAACTGACGCCCTTAGGACGAATGCCGGACCATCTTGCTGGGCATTGACGCCGATGCTGATGTCTTCATCTCCCGTCAATCTGGCCACCAGGACAAGGAGAACGGTGTGCAGAACAGCGGTGATTGAGCCCAGGTCTGACAACCTCTTCAGGGCATCCGAGGTGGTGCTAGGAGCAGCCAGAGACTCAACAGCCTCGATAGGTCTCTTGGCCACATTCTCCGAGCTTGCTTCAGGATAGTCTCGGGTCAAGGGCGAGATTGTCTGGTCTTTCAGATACTCAGCCCACCAGCTCAGGCGATCGGTGTCGTTGTCAGCAGCTTCTGGGGCCATGGCGGGCACGCTGCTTCCGAGTCTACTCGCCTACTCTGTACATGTAACGTCTGAAGTCTGAAGTCTGAGCAACGGTGCGAGGTGCGATTTGTGAGTCAAGCGACGAATTTAATTTTCGAGGCCGATGTCGATGCCGGAAAAACATCGGCCCGTCCACCGGCACGCGATTCAATGTCTTGGCATTGACTGGGCATTGCGAGTCATACCATCAGGGTTAGGGTTAGGGTCAGGCTGCGGCTGCGGCTGCGGCTGCGTGCACTCCAGGTGCGGTTGATGCGGGAGACCTTAATGAAGCCATGCAATAATAATAGAGCGAAGTTCGGATCGTAGAGGAAAGATGACACCGAATAGTCAGAGTCAAAGTCCTCCGGCTCGGGCTCTCAGGGGAAGGGAAGCTGCGGCCCATCATCCTCTGTTAGTACAGACAGAGTACGTACTCTACTCCATACTGGCAGCAATGCCCCATACGACTCCGTCCACTCCGTCCAGTGCCAGTGTTACGCAATGCTACCATCTCGAAACACGAAACACGAGTCTTGTCCACCATGTTCACTCTTTTGCTATAGACTTGTACTTTCTTGGGCGCATGACCGGTCTGCTGCGTGTCTTTCCTCTTTCGCTCTCGCTTTCGCTTTCGTCGCCCTGTCCCTGGTTGAATCTTGAATCACAATGCCACCCCGGCACTTTTCCCGGTATCTCTTCGTTGGCGCAGTCTTTCTTCTCGGCGTTATCGTCTTTTCCACCACCTCACACACCTCCGCCGCCGCCGCCGCCCACGACGGCATTAGGGGGTCGATCCCGAAGATCACCGTCCCCGGCTTCCGCTTCTCCTTCCAGAGCTCCGCGCACAAACCCCCCGAGCAGAAGAACAGCACCCACGGCGACAGCGACAGCTCGTGGTACAGCGACTGGAAATGGTTGAACCCATTCTCCTCCTCCGTCACCCTCGACGAAGACCGCGTTGTCCTCCCACCCGTGGCCGACCGGCCTGCGGTCTACACATTTTACGACACGACTTTCAAGAGAGATGAAGATACCCAGAAAGTGGACCAAGAACTGCTGTTGACCTGGCGCCGGGCATGGTGGGCTCACGGCTTCCGCCCGGTCATCCTGACCGAGGCTGAAGCCATGAGCCACCCATTGTACCAAACTCTCCAAGAAAAGGGCATGCCCACGGCTCTGGAACAGGAGTTCAGACAATGGTTGGCATGGGCCCACATGGGAACGGGCCTGCTGTCCAGCTGGTTCTGCCTGCCCATGGGTGCTTACGACGATCTGCTCCTCGCACATCTGCGGCGAGGGCAGTATCCGCATCTTACCAAATTCGAAGGCCTAGGATCTGGTCTGTTTGCAGGAGAACGCACCCAGATCAACGACGCCATCCAGTCGGCCCTGGGCAACATCAAGTTAAGCACCTTCAAGTCCATCACCGACGCTATAGACTCGGAACGCTTCAAGGTGGAACAGCCAACCTCAGTTGCACATTACGATTCGCAGACGATTACCTCCAAATATCCCGTCCTGGCAGAACTGATTGTCCAAGATCCTCACAAAGGTCGACTTGCTCTCAATCAACTGATGATTACACATTTGCACACCATCTGGCAGAACAGCTTCAGCACTGGCATCGCCGTCTTGCAGCCCCTCCCTGCCCATACCTTTTCCCTGGTGAAGCCGGCAAAGGATCTGGCCCATCTTCTGGCCGAATGCCCCAGCTCGATTCTACAGTCATCTTGTCCACCGAACCGGCCCAAGTGCAGTCCGTGTGTGGGCTCCCGCTTGAGTATCAACACTGCCTCCTCTTTCCGAAACACTTCTTCCCTCTTTACCATTGCCGTCGTTCCCCATCCCTACACCATGATCACCCTCGCCAACCGGTCGGATACGATTACGGTCAACCATATTAGACGTCGGACCCCGCGAGACCCTTGGGTTACCGCCGTCACCCGAAACCTCCTCGGAGATGCACGAGGAGGTCCAAGTCGAGTGGTAGCATTGAAGGACGCCGTGGCCTCGGAATATGGTAGCTTTCGATCATTATGGTTTACCACCGAGCACTTTCCCGCGACTTTCTGGCCACCTCCGCCTCCACCCAAGTCTCCCACCAACGATGCTCATCCAGTCGAGGAAAAGGTCTCTCCATTCCCTGAAGACTGGCTTGAGAACCTTGACTGGCACTTTGGTTTTCCGGTGCCTCGGACGGGAATCTCGCACGGCGAGTCTCTTCCTCCAGTGCCTGGACCTGAGCGCTGGGCCAAACTTCCCGCGGGTCTTCCAGCCGATCTCAAGAAGAGCTCAGACCCTGACCCGCCGACGGCAGAGCAGGCGGCGGTTGAAGTCGAGCTTTTGCGAAAGGCCAGGGAGACCATCAATAGCAAGGATGCAGCTGTTGTCCGACTTCGTGGCGTGGCAGAGGCTTGGAACTTGGCGGACACAGAGGCGTGGAAATTCGTCAAGAGCTTCCGTGCCCGCCAAGTCGTGGAAAGACTGCAGTTCGAGGAGGAAGAATCTGCTTATGGCACCGGAGGCGGCGTGAGAGGCAAGCCTCGCTGGTGGGGCTCATGAGGGCCTTTATCCCTCACGAGATGGTGACTCATGTACTAGTTGCTTTCACACGCTGGGTAGACTTCCACCAGTCCAACATGCATTGCAAGTTCGTGCATCAGCTCCAGCGCACGATTTAGCAGACCGCCGGCGACGCATATGTTGAACGCTAGGAACAGTGCCAGTGTCCAATGGAATACATATGCAGCGCGAGACAAATCTGGTAAATCTGGGGGTAGGATCTGGATCCCCCATCGACAAAAGACGGCACGCCGCATCATCATGAGTGAGCTGCCTATGAAATGATTCGCGCCGGTGAGCGTGCAGATCAGCGAGAGGATCTGGGCAGGTGTTATGATGGAAGAATCTCTGGTGAAGCCTTTCAAGTTGTGCATGACGAGTCTGCAGAAAGGATCCAGCGCTGATATCCAAACGACATTGATGAGCGTCTGCTGCAGGAGGAACCGGACGCCGTCCATTTCTCCAACGAATACAAACCACTGGGCGAACCGGCTTTCTGGCATCCGATCAGGTTCATCAAGATCTGTACCCGGGCCATCTGGTCTTTCCGAAGCGATCGGTGATCTTCTCCTTCTCGTCGAGGCTGCCGAGCGTGTGCCCGACAGGTGCGACTTTGCGGAGGCAAAACTCGATTTCCCAGTAGAGGTCGATTTCTCAATCGATGGCAGCACCCTTTGGGCAGCCGCACGCCATTTTGCAGAGGACGCTGCCGGTTCTTTGACAGATGACTGCAAATCCCGCGCAGACGAGTCAACCCTGATGCCAGCCGAACCCGCTTCTTCGAGAGACGGCAGCGCATTCTTTCCTGGCGCCCGTGTTCTTTCCGAAGAAAGGACTGATTTCTTACCGGGTGACCGCGAGCCCCGACAGGATGGGTCAACCCAGATGCCCGCTGGCGAAGGAGCTTTGGATCTCGAGGAGGTCGGCTTGGCAGATGGAGCGGGCAGCTGTTGCCAGCCTGAACTCGTCAGGCCTTCTCCAGCTTCAGAGAAGGCGGTGCCATGGTTTTCTTTGCTCGATCTCGACAGTCTAGTCATTGACCCCGCGTCATTGTTATTATGGACTCTAGGACATGTCAGAAGCTCCTGCCATGTGCCCTGCCATAACGCTGTCGCCATCTCGGCAAGTCCTCGATCATTCCTTGTTCTGATCTGGGGGTTCCGCATGACAGAGACCTTCCGGTCCAAAGCAGCCAATGTCGAGCAATACATGCCATGATCACAGGGTGCCCATCCGTTATCCTTGGGCTGCTGCCAGTGACCGTGTGGAGTCAAATCATCCTTGAAGAGAGGGAATCGTGCCTCCAACATGTCGACAATGCCTGCTGCATCTTCGGCCGTCATGTCCATCGGGTGGTCAGGGAACGTGACATTGTATGCAATGGCAATACTATCGGCTTGGAGATTCGTGGTGAGGTGATACCAAAGAACGAAGCGTGTATCGCACGGCTCCCATTCCAGGTCGGCATAGTTTAGGTTGTCGGTATTGTAGGGCACATAAAAGTGCTGGCTGATCCGGTCCGGAGAGAGTTTCGGTTTCAACTTGCCACGGCTGTGGTTGTTGCTAGTGCTCTCACTGATGGGAGGAGAAGACTCCATGAAAGTGGAGGATGACTTGTCAAGTGGAGGACGACTTGTCACGGGTGGTGTGAGGTGCGAGGTGCGAGGTGCGAACTGATGCAAAGGTCAGGATAGTAACAAGGTGTGGGAGTGGGAGGTGTTGTTGTTGATGTTGATGTTGTGGTTGGAGCAGCCCAGAATACCCGTGTTTTTGGGTGTTGGAGAAAGGAGTTGAAGTCGACCCTGAAATTGAGATTGGGTCGACATTCCAAGCGTCGGGTTTTGGTCTTGTTGACATGTTCATCCCATCAGCCCATCAGACAGCCAGGGCAGCATTCCAATGACTAACGCCTGAGCCAGCGGACAATCAAGCCCGAGCCTTACTAGTAGCTCTCAGAGCGCCAACTTGAATATTGCCGCCTTGACCCCTTGAATGCAGCTCTCCCACTGCATGGCCACTGATTCAGGACACATTACGCATTACGCAGTACGGATTAGGTGCCTTACTGTACTCGTACACTCTGTCGAGGGATTAGGTGCCTTGCTGTACTCGTACACTCTGTCGAGGTGATCGATCCCCTTCCAGTTGTTCCTCGCATCAGGCCTTGCAGTGGTTGGTTTGGCAAGACGATACAATACCATACCATACCATACAATATAAACCCAAATCCATCAAGTATAAGTAAAAGTAAGCAGTAAGCAGTAGTGCCTCAGCAGACTGACTGCAAAGGCCCACTATAAATGAAAATGAAAAATGAGGATGAAAACGAGGATGATAGACGGAGCCTTGTGAATTACTGTACGACTACGACTACGACTACTACGGCCAAGGTAGGTAGCTAGCAACCTCTACAACAACATCCAGGGCCCAAGCCGGCTGCAGGGACTAGGATTGGTAGCACGAGGATTAGTAGCTCTAGTTGGTAATTGATGACATGATTTCATGGGTCGAGATACAGGAGACAAAGGTGAATCCTCCGTATTATCAAAGCCACTGCACAATCGAGTCTTGACCCGAAGCCCAAGCCCAGGCCCAAGGCCCAGCCAGATCTGCCTCCTTTATCCAGCCGCTTTCTCTCCTTGTCACTCATCCAGACTCAGGACCAGATATCTGTCTCATCTGGCCTTAGGCCCAGCCACTCCAGCAAATTCATACACGGGAACCTGCTTCAGCCTCCTTGCCTGTTTCGAATCCCACGAGTGTAGGCTCAACTCCTGGGCCTGCCACGTTCTTCTCCTCGTGATATTTCTTCGTACCCAGAGTAGACACGTCGTAGCCATGCTCCACCAGATAAAGTCTAAACCTCTCATCTTCGTCGGTAATGGTGTCTTGACCGATGTATGGAAGACAGAAAAAAGCGACCAGTCCACTAAAGATGCACAAGGAACTGGAGACATAGAATGGATATTGTCCTTGCTTGATCACGTCGTCGCCACCGGCTTTGATGATCTCTGGGAAGACATAGTTGCCAACAAATGCGCCAATCTTTCCACAAGCTGCCGCAATGCCGTAGTACATGCCTCGAACAGACGTGGCAGATGTCTTGGACGCCACGAGACCAATGTTGTCCCCGGGACCGATTTCGCCCAAGGCCAGGAAAATACCATAGATGACGACGAAGCCGCCGACCTGAGAAGGTTGGTCCAGGTGCTTGTAGATAGCGGTCATGATGAAGCCAATGATCCCTTGTAGCGTGACACCGAGGATCAGGCAATATTTAGGACCGATCCAGTCCGATAGGAACGCGCCTATCACGGCGCCAGGAACATAAAACAGGTTGATGACAGTGTTCCAGCCGAAGGTCTTCCACAAGGGGGCGTCCGATGGGAGGAGGAAAGCCAGCCAGGATGAGGAGTAGATGCCGAAAGAATAGGTGGAAAAGTCGTAGATGAACCAGATCAATGACACGATAATGAGCCTCCACCAGTAGAACTTCAGGATCATCCAGTATGGATAATGGTTCATCTTATTTCGGTGATACTCCTCTGGTTCTTGCAGCTTGATCCGGAGGTACAGCAACGAAAGCGGCGGGATGACGCCCAATCCCAAGGCCACACGCCAAGCGGCCCTCATGTGATGTTCGGTGAAGATCAACATCAGAATCATTGGGACAATGGCAGCGACCACAAATCCGACGTCAATGGATAGGTTGGTGAAGCAAATGAACCAGCGGTTACGGTGGCCACGCTTGAGTTCTCCGGTGGATTCGGCGCACGCCACAGACCCTGCCGGATACTCACCCCCAATTCCGATACCCAGGATGAACCGATACGCAGTTAACGCAGCGAAGAGACCTTGGACGCTGCCGCCGGCCCCGTAGGAACCTGCACCGAGGGCGGCAAAGACGATGAGAATAATGGTTGAAATGAGGAGCGAATGGCGCCGGGACCAATGATCGGACAGATATCCAAATACCAGCTGTCCAAGAACAGTCCCGGCGAAAGCGATAGAAGACACATTGCTTTGGGCGCTTGACTTGGTGTATTCGTCCTTGTAGATTAATTTAAGCATGGTGTTGACTGATCCGATGACCTGGAGAGAGGACATTAGCCCAAGGTAATGATACAATAAACGGGGAGATGAGTCGACATACGCCATTCAGATATCCATCGGAGAACAATCCTGCACCACAGGCGATGGTGGGCCAGCTCCTTTCCCATCGTGTCTTAGGGACTGCATCAAGAGGAACCTCGTGAACAGACATATGCCGGTTGTCTGGGGTGTAGCCCTCGCCCTCTTGGATTGTCTTTTCGCCGTCCATAGTTTGGACAATTCACCCACGTGATTTTGAACCGAACACAGTCTTCTGCCAGCGCAAGATTCAGGGAGGGAAGAGGTCAGATATAAGTTCCCTCAAGACGGGGGGCCTTGGGAGACGCCGACTGGAGAAAGACTGGTGGAAAGACCGAGAGGCTGGGCTAGATTACTTAGAGCAAGCCCAAGCAGACGAGGACGCATACGCTGTACAAGCAGTGTCTGGAGTGGACCTCAGATGGGGATGAGGAGCATAATAAGGAAGAAAAGGAAAGGCTAGGAGTCTTCGCATGGGCTTCTCGTTGGTGCTGGTTGGTCTTTATCGCCCGCCTTGTTGGTGGAGGAGGAGGAGGGCCCATCTGCGTCTTCGGAGGTGGCATCGACAATGGGAGCTCAAGCCATCCGAATCGGCAAAGGAACACATGACGCCGCCTTTGCCGACTACCGACTAGGTGAGATGGCCGATTGTCTTATTGATTGCAACCCAAGGTGTTCATGTTGTTTTTTTATTGGCCAAGAGTCCTTGTCGACCCGGTCGGACTGGCCGCCGCTAAAAGCAAGGACGCTGCTCGATTGTTCGAGCTGTCCGGTGTCAGCTAGTAGGAACAACACACTAAAGAACGTGGAGGATACTTACTTCAGGAGAATGGCCGGCCGCATGGGTTGTACTCAGTACTGTACAGAGGATGCCATCTTCCATCTTCCATCTTCCATCTTCCATCTCCCATCTTCGTCGCCTACTGTCCAAGAGAGTGCGGACGGATACGGAGTACAGTGCGCAGGCAGCGCAGTCTCTACCCCTCCTCTCTGTTGTCACTCACACGTCACGCCTGGGGCCGGCATTCCTTCTAATTTCAGCCTCTAGGTATGCTTGAAATCTTTCTTTACGTTTGGTTTGTCGAGGACACAACCACTAGTACACTATGCACTTAGTACATACTACATAGGTACTAGTGGAGTGAAGAAAAAAGCTTGGTACTGGCCTTGTCTGGTTTCAACTGCTGCACAATGACGTTGACGGCTGCTGCTGCCGATGTCACCCTTTGATAACCACGACGACCTAGTACCGACAGAGGACGGAGTGCAGACACAGCTAAGACTACCTAGGTAAGTCTACTAACATTGTATTCACTGTATCCGTACTCCGTACACCTATGGAAGATGGCGAACCCATGCATTGAAACAGTAACACAACACAGGCAGGTATCTAGGAGGTATGTAGGTATGTACCCGTCCCTACCTAGTCCGTCCTCCTTATCTGCTATTTTCTGCCCTGCACACTTCGGTTGAGGCTACCGTGATCGTGATCGCGTCTTCCCCATTCAACGTTCCAGGATCCACGGTCCGTGTTGCTCTTGGATATACGAAGTACTAACCGCGCCAGACCAGACAGGGCTCGAATGCAGACATGCTCACAGCTTGGCCTTCACAGACTTGCCCGCGTCCTCTTGCTTCGCCCTCTCCTTCAAAACCCGCCTCAGAATCTTGCCTGCCGCACTCTTGGGAATCTCGTCGATGAACCGCACTCCTCCTCGTAGCCTCTTGTGGTTGGCCATCTTCCCTGCCACCCAGCTCACAATCTCTGCCGCATCCTTTTCACTGGCTTTTCCCGGAGCAGCCACCACATAGGCTCGCGGCACCTCGGTATGTTGCTGTTCATCATACACCCCGATCACTGCCACATCGTTGATCCCAGGGTGATCCATCAGCTTGCCCTCGAGCTCGGCGGGAGCCACTTGGAACCCTTTGAACTTGATCAGCTCCTTGACTCGATCGGTGATATAAAAGTTGTGGTGTTTGTCTTGGAATCCCACATCGCCCGTCTTGAAATACCCATCTGGCGTCAGGGCCTCTTTGGTGGCTACTTCGTTCTTCCAATAGCCCTTGAACACATTGGGACCGGACAGATACAGTTCACCCGTCTCACCGGGTCCGACTTCATCGCCGTCTGGAGAGATGTATTTGGCAGTCATGCTGGGGAACATTTTGCCGACACTGCCCACTGAAGAGTACCACTCGTCCCATGGCTTGGCTTGTGGTCAGTCATGTCCAATCTCGGTGGCCGGCCATGTACTTACCTGAGTATGCGTCATGGGGCTTGTCTCGCTGAGTCCGTATGCTTGGTTGATTTTGATGTTCAATCGTTTGTACACCGCGTCCACCAGCTCTCGAGTTAAAGGCGCCGCTCCACTCGTGATCATCCGGACGGTGCTGAGGTCGTACTGGTCTACCACTTTATCTCGAGCCAATCGCACAATCACTGGCGGCGCCACGTAAATGAACGTGATCTTGTGCTCCTGGATGGCTTTGAGAAAGATTTCCAGGTTGAAGGCCGGCATGACCACCAGCTCAATGCCCCGGTGTAAGGGCTGATGGACGAGGCCGGTCAGCCCATAAATATGGAAAAAAGGCAATACTCCTAGAATCTTGTCCTTTCCGCTGGAGTACCACTTCCCGACCGCTCCGTGGATCATGAGGACATCGGCAATGACGTTGCGGTGGGTGAGCATCACCCCTTTCGGTAGGCCGGTTGTCCCTGAGCTGTACACCAGGAAAGCGAGGTCGTTGTCAGGGTCCAATTTCCGTCGTAGGTAACGGCTCGAGCCACTTGTCTTGCGAATGTCGGTCCAGTGTTTGATTCTGTGGGCCGGGTCTCGTCCGGTACCTAACAATATCACACGGTCTTCTGGAATGTTAGACCGCTTTGCTGCTTTCAAGGCGGTCGCTAGGAAGTCAATCGTGGTGACAATGGCCTTGGATCCAGAATTGGTCAATTGGAACGCCAGTTCGTCTACCGAATACCCTGGGTTGGCGGGAGACACGACACCTCCGGCATAAAACACGCCGTAGACGACGGCCGCGAAGTCGACATCGTTCGGGGCATAGATGTTGAGCACATCGCCCTTTTGCCAGTCCCACAGATTTCGAAGACCACTGCCGAATGCCGTCGCAGCTTCCTTGACGTCGGCCCACGTGTACTGACGGGAAAAGTCCACGGAGCGATATATCACTAGCACCACACATGAGCCAGTCGCCACCAAACAGTTTCAATTGATAGACAACCACCTACCTTGAGAGTCGGCAAACTCTCGAGGCTGCTCAAACATCAGGCCCCAGAGGTCGACATTTGGGATGTGGATGTCGGGATAGGGTGATTTGGTAGGCATGATGGAATTCCGATTCCGATTCCGTTTCACCTCACGTCGACTCCGCTGGGCATCCCCGGGGACTATAAGACAAGACGAGACACGCTGGATGGAGAAGGGAACTGGGAACTGTTCGATGGAAGGCTGTAGGAGGACGAGACAGGCCAGGTTCATATGCACGTACAAGCGGGATGGTGCTCGACCTAGGTCGCTGCGGACCACGGAATATGTGCACCCATGGTTCCGGGGAGAGCTGGGGAATTGGGAATTGCCTAGGCACAAGAGGTGATGCCAGCCAAAGGCGGATGAAGCCCCGCATAAATCCGGGGCCCTTAGTCGTAGTAGGCCGACATTTCGGCGATGGCCTGCGTCTGGGCGTCGGAAGTATCCTCCGTAGCATCTGCATCTGCTCCGGATGTGCTCCTCCGTATTAAGTTCATGGGGTACTTGTAGCGGGGAGAGAAGGCCTGGCAAACACTAGTCCTAATCAGGCCGACGCCAAGAGGTTGTTGGACTTGTAACGCGCTAGTCTTAAACAGGACTAGAGTGCTGTACCTACAGAAGTACATTAGTACCTTAGGCTAGTGTAATATGTATGGTCAAGGGTGTGTAGGCCACAGTGATAAACCGCCCCAGAGACTGTGTGTCGTTCAGCTTGGCCAAAGGACTTAGGCTAATAAGGGGACTTCCTCCGGGAGGCCACCAGGCTACTGTACGAGTAGTTGATCACAACATGCCGAGGTTACTGTAAGCGGCGATGGTGGTGCTCGGTGCTATAAATTGTCGAACGCCCCTTCCGCAGTCTAACATGTCCATCCTTTCATCAACTACGACAGGCATCAACAGCAAGACCCAAAAAACCAGCCTTCCTTCAGTTGAGCTCTTTTCCTGTTGACCATTGCTTCCAAGGGCCAGCGTCATGGCTTCTCTCCCGCCATCGCTTGACCACCTTCCACCTGAAATCACCCATCAGATCCTGGCCCGTCTCGAAGACGCTGACCTGCGTGCTCTTGGACTGGCCAGCAAGTGTTGGTGCTCTTTGGCCAGGCCTCACTGGGGCTGGACCATCCAGATTCGACTTTCCACTCCTCAACAGCTTTGTGAGGACCTGGCCACATGGAGCCACAGGGTTGCAGTCATTGGACCAGAGCGTGTGTCCCAGCTCATTATCAGTGGTGGGACCAGGAATCCGCTTGCTGATGATAGGAAGAATGTCGCTCTGGAGGCCTTGTCGGAATTTGTTCACAAGCTCCTGTGGTTGAGTCAACTAAAGGTTGATTGCGAGGATTGGTTTGGGGACAGTGTGCTTCCTCGGTGCTTGTGGAAAGCACTCGAGAACCTCCCTCCCCAGTGCAAGCTCGACTACAGAAGGTTCAGCCCCCAGAGGGTTAGGAGTACCTCTCGAATCAGCCGCGAGGACTATGCGTTCTTAACTTCACCCAATCTGCATGCTGTCGAAGCCCGTTACTGTCATTTTACAGGGACAGAGCACGGGGAAATGGAACTTAATTACGCCGCCGAGGCGCTGCTAGACATGACCAGGTTCAACCGCAACATCAAGAGCGTCAGCATGTATCCATTGGGTATTTTCCAGGAGATCGATCAAGTGCGAGGGCTCCTGCAGTCCTGGCCACCCTGGCCAGGCTTCATCTTTCCCGAAGGAATATCACCGCCCGTGCCAGCTCAACGCGGAGCGCCCACATCGCTTCACTGTAGGGGCGATGCAGAGAACTTTTGCGTGTACAGCCAGCTGATCGACTTCTCTCAGCTACAAAAGCTCAACCTTACCTCTGGTCCTGCCGACTGGCTTATCTGCCACGCGCTCAAGCTGGGCCCAGAAGAACGTCCGGGTCGGGAAAGAGCCCCCACTTGCACGTGTACACGAAACTTGAGGCCATACTTGAACTTCTCCTCGCTGAAGGAGCTGGTCCTGGAGATCACTGTTACAAATCATGGGGCCCGGCGCGATCTGTTAACTTCATCAGAGCCATACGAAGCCTTCCTTCGCCATATCCCGCCACTGGCGAAACTTTCCATTCATGGCTTTTCGACTCTGAGCTTATTCAACACGATTGTGTCCCATCACGGCGGTTCACTTCGGCAGCTCAGCATAGTACCCGAAGAATGGCAGGCGAACGTGATCCTGTCACTCCCTGAGGTTGTACAGTTTCAAAGCATGCCCTTCCTGACGCATCTCACCATCCCTGTTCGTCGCTCTAAAGGTTCGGCCGCCGAAGTCGCCATCTATCACGCTCTCGGTCAGCTGCCCAAGGTGCAAGAGATGAGTTTGTTCCTTTGCTATCCGCTGGTCGATCTAATCCCTTACGACCCTGCAAGGGGGGAATGGGACGAGGCCCCCAACGATCCTTCGTTTGACGAATTTGAGCAGCAGTTCTGGTACCCGGAGCATGACACGGCACGCATGGGACATTTCAAGGACCTCTTAATCAGCGGGGCCCTCGACGAGAAGTTGGCCACCAGCATCTTCAATCGTATTTCCTCGGCCAAAACAGCAAGATCGTTCCCACTTGAGCGATTGAAACTCTTTTCGATGGGCGGCGGTGATGAGTGGGATCAGAACAGCGTTGACGATATGAGTTTAGACTATGTTTTCCAAGTGGTTTCGAAGTGGTGGAACATCGAACGGGGGAGGCGCGATGATCAGCGCGACGTGCTATTCACCCGCCTAATCCGTGAGGATGAATTCTTTCGACGATTCCGTCCACGAGAACCGCAGGTCCAACTCGATTATACGACGAAAAAGGAAGTCCTCGGCCCTTCCACCGAGAAACTCTTCTCCCACGTCTGGCCTGACTGGCAAACGCGAAACGAAGATTGGAGGCATGCGTGGCATAGTTTTCCGTTGGACGATGGAGGGAGCCTGGAAGACCCTCAAGCAGGTTGAGTTTGTTCGGCGTCTATTACTCTGTGTGGACTGGGTTGACCAGTACATCGTATCTAGTACCAGCTGATGATGCTCATGTTTCAGAAGGGTTCAAGAGATCTGAATTTGATCTGATCAATCGTGATGAGAGACAGAACTTCGGAGACCTTGTTATTGCACACGGCCCAAATTTTTCCGTCTGTACCAAGGACTGAATTCACAACGCTAATCCCCCGTGTGCGGCGCCCATTTCCAGTCGGGACCAAGTCAGACTTTGATCTCGACACTGCCAAACACTCAGGAGCGAGACGTGCGTGACGAGGGCGTCGACGGCCCTATGGGCGAAGCTGACCTACAGTGTCCTCTGTACGCCGCCATCCTCGTCCATGTCCCAGCTCCAGCTCCAGCTCTGGCAGCTCGAGTGACCGGCAGGGTAGGCCTCGAGGTTAGACGGCAGCGAGCGTAAGGTAAGAACCATCAAATCCAGAATCTAAGTGTCGTGGTTCGTAGTTTCACCAGCCTCGGGACCCCTCGACGCCTCCTTTACTCTATTCGTATATGCTTCATACAGCATATGGGGTCGGATATGGTTGGTTCTCACCAGTCGCCAATTCCCGTGGCCCCTAAGCCCCACTGGCCTCCTTAGCCTCCTAAGCCCCTAAGCCCCACAGATTCTAAAGCCATCCCCCCCACCTCCACCTCCACCTCACCTCCCCCTTCATGATAAAGCACTCACGCATCGGTACGGAGTACGGAGTACTCTGTACGGATACAGATACTGGCATACAGTTGGCTGGATACTGACGCTACCGTTGGTTAGGTATGCAGAGAAAAATGCCGTCGGTGTTGTGGTCCCCGGCTGTATATGATAGTTAGGCGGACCACTAGCTACTACGTAGCTACTAGCTATTTGTGCTCGTACCTAATACCGAACCCGCTTGACCTAATCACGAACAGGTCCACATTGCGCCAGAAGATCGCTCTGTAAAAAGAGGTCCACGTTCACCAGAGGATCGCTCTGTAAAAAAGACTTGATGCTTTTCGTCTATCCTGTATTGCATTATAACCTGACCTGACCTGGGCGCAGTGCCTGAAACGAAACAGCTGACCCTAGATAAAATCGATCTCGTCTTTGGCTCAAGTGGTATTGTGGAGGAACGCATGACCCAAGTCAATGCCGAGCTTAGGCTCGACTAAGACGGTCTTCAACGCGGCAACGATGAATCCTTCGCCGACGTCTGACGTCTCCGAGATGGCCAAGTAAGGGAGGCAACAGCGGTCGTGTTAGGAGTAGGAGTAGGAGTATTTGTTGAATATTGAGACCTACCATTTGCTTGGAGATGTGGAAAGTCTCACATTCTGTTACAAGTTCCGGTGAGTGCGCATGGTAGTACGTATTTGGGTATTTGGTCATCACCAGGCTGCCATGAGGCCAAATCAAAGGCTGCGATGGACTCAGAGGAGACGTTCAACCAAGTTGGGCAGTAGGTGCAACGAATGCTTTAATGCTTTCCAGAAGGAATAGATGCTACCCGTTCTCCTGATGCCGCAATATAATGGAAAGGAAAGGATATCAGACTAAAATGATTGGTAGCCCTCTTCCTCTTCCGTTCCCTTGGTCTCTAAATCTCCCCTGCTCTGCACAGAAATGGCAAAAACTTTTTCCACAAACCCCATATCAGGATTTTGATATGAGGGTTGTGGGAAGTGAAACCCGGGTTCGCAGGGTTTTTCCGTTAGCGGTGGTTGGTGTCAACCCGGGTTCGCAGGGTTCAAATCAATATGTTGGCGGCTTTTTGTTTGTTGTCAACCCGGGTTCGCAGGGTTCAAATCAATACAGTGGCTGCTTTTTTGGTCGTTGCTAACCCGGGTTCGTAGGGTTAGTGGGCGACAGTGATAACAGAACCGATCGGAATCGCCCAGTACTGACTCGGCCAACGGGGCCATATCTGGGGGTCCTTGCGTTATTGGGAGGGAAATCTGTGACTTTGATTCATATACCTGGTTTAATTTCTGGCCTGCAGTGAATTGTATTTCTCCCGGTACCGGCTGGGCGGGTGCCGCGACTTAGCGATTCACTATTGTTAGCCAAGTCTGGCATAGAGGAGCCTCGTGGAGAGAAGTACGAAACGAAGTGGCAGGCTAAGTACAAGACAACGACGACAGCAAATGACTCTATAATGGATCTTTCGTCGATATATCTTCATTTCCTGGTCTGTATCAAGCTAACCACCGTCCGAAGCGTGGCCGCAAGACGCCAAATACCTCTCACCAGGTCTGCGTCTCCGACGGATGTAAATGTCAGCCGTGGGTGGATGATGGCTATACAGAATAGTAAGTAGTTAGGGGACTGTGTATAGAATAAAGATAAGGTGGTGTGCCCCCTATACACAGAATAGCCGCCTAATTGGAGCGCTGTGGCTGAAATAGGGGTTGGCCGAAAAACGCCAGGTGTGGCTGGTGGTGGCTGGTGTTCGGTGCAGCTGACATAATACGTACGGTAAACCGGAACAAATGACTGCAGGGCCGGTTTAGCAGGTACCGAGGCAGAGTCACACATGCCCAGGCACGAGACACCTAAAAGGCGGCTTGGATGTTCCTTGGGTCTGGCCCTCCCCCAGTCTCACTCTTCCCTCTTCCCCAAATTCCTCGGTCAGATCACGGGCTTGTGTCCGGCCGCTGGCTAGAATTGCGATAAATACTCCGTGCAAAGCTATCATTTGCGTCTCTCGCCACGCAAACCCATCCTATCTCATTTCCCTTCCATCGCCCCTTCCGTGTTACCTCTCTCCTCCGGTCTGATTTCGTCAGCGGGTCTGAATTCCCCCGTGCTGCAGCCATGGTCGCAGATTCCCTAGTCTACCACCCTGCGGTGGCCCATTACCTCCGATATGTCGCGACAACAGGCAAGCGACCATTTCCTGCTCCCTAGTCCGGCTTGACAAGCGCTGACCCGTTGCCCTCATCTAGTCGGCCGTGATAAGATCCTGCGTACCATTCAGTACTTCAGCCGATTTTATGCCTGGTATCTTTATCGAACCAACAACCCGACGAGTACCATCCTGCCATGGGTGACCCTCAAGAATCAATTCGGCTTGACACGGAAGATCCTACGCGTGGGCAAGTTCGTCGAACATCTGCGTGCCGCCTCGGAGATCTATGATGCTGCGGTCAAATCAGGCAATGGGGACAAGATCACGCAGTACCTTCAAACCCTCCGCCAAATTGGCTATGCGGGCTACCTGTTCCTCGATACGTTGACCGTCTTGGACGCAATCGGGGTCAAGAAGCACCCCAAAGCCAAGAGCATTCAAACCAGTGCCTATCGCTTCTGGTTGACCGGCTTGGTGGCCAGCGCGCTCGCTGGATTCTACAACACCTACAAGTTGAGACAACGAGCAAAGACTGTGGATGAGAAGGATGCAGAAGCAAAGGTAGAAAAGGTCAAGATTGCAAGGTATGTTTTGAAATGCCCAGGGACGAACGGTCACGGTACTGACTGCCACGGACTAGACAACAACATGCCGTGAATATCCAATTGGTCTCTGACCTCTGTGATCTGACTGTGCCCAGCACAATTCTAGGATATGCCAGCTTCGACGACGGCATCGTTGGCTTGGCTGGCACAGTCAGCAGCTTGCTTGGTGTGTATGGTACGTGGCAGAAGACTGCTTGAGCGCGATCATGATGGATCGGACACGTTTCTATATACTCCATCACCTTGCAGACTCCGATCAAGTTGGCATATCGCATTTCCCGGGACCCAGATGGCTAGCGCATGGCTACTTGGGCCATGACACACTAAATCCTGTCGGTCCAGGCATGGCTGTGTTGTTTAACGACGCTGTTTGAAAAGGGGCAACCATCTCTGTTGGAACTGGCACGTACTCTGTACTGTGAATATATATATCTGTCCAAGTTCGGCAATGGCAGGCGAGTGGTTGGACTGCTTTATTTACTACTGGTCTTTTAACGACGTCCATTGTTTTATTGAGACCCATCCCAATGACATTGTCCCCATGAGTTCACCAGCTGCAGCTAGCTATTCCTGTTGCCCTCTTGTGCATTGCCCTTCCCCTTCTAGCCTAGGGGTTCCTGCCTCAGTCAGAAGAGAACTCTGCTACGTCGAGGCGGGCGTGCATGCGTAGGGTGGTGGTGGTGGTGGTGGTGGTGGTGGTGGTGGTGGTGGCAGGCAGAGTTGACGGCGTGGCGGGGTGAAGGCAGGCGACGAACAGGGCGTTTGTCATAGGACGAAGCAGACGCTCCTCCGCGCCCTGCACCGCACGGGTTTGCCTCCACCACGTTTGCGGCCTTCCGTCCCCGCGGCCTGCCATTCTTCTTTCATCCTTCATCTGCACTCTCCGTTCCAGACCACGAGAATATACGACCGGTACTGTGATCGTTTTCGCATGCTCCGCATTGATCTCCAATTATCAGAGCATTTCATATCCACGGCCTGTTGTGTGCGCCAATCAGCGACGCTCGGAAAGAGTCGGACAGTGTTTCGACACCAAACCACCTCGTCCTCCTCCGAACTTTCCCGTCTGTTTGTCGGGTGTTGCACTTCACATCGGGTTGGCCCCAGCGCCGGGAAGATACAATATCAAGAACATATCTCCCCGATGGCTTCAGATTACTCTGCCCGTCTTCAATCTACCCACCAAATCCGTCCTCTCTCGCCCTCTCCAGCCACTGGCAAAGCACGTTCCGACCTCGCCAAAGTGCAACTGCGATCTTTCACTTCCAGAATGGTTTCTCAATCGGTCAACAAGACCGCTCTCCACCCTGGTGGTGTTGAGTACGTTGACGCCATCTTCTCGACGATTCGTCCAGCTAACCGTGCTCGTCTAGGCCCTCCCGCGAACACACGGAGCTGGAGGAAGAACTTCACTCAACCGCCCATATTGACTACGACCGTGTGGCCATTGTAGCCAACCCTTCTGTATCCGCTCTCTACGAGGATGCTCTCGTCTACGAGACCGGTACCGCCATCACCTCTTCGGGGGCCCTGACCGCCTACTCAGGCTCCAAGACTGGCCGGTCGCCGCTCGACAAGCGTGTTGTCAAAGAGGAAAGCTCAGAGAAGGACATATGGTGGGGACCTGTGAACAAGCCCATGACACCAGAGGTCAGTCAGTCTTCTATGCTCCCTGTCTCTCCCTCTCTGCATTCAATGCTTCCATGTCTTCCTGCTGTGTCACCCACCTCTCCTCTTTTTCAGAGCAAATAAGCACAAGCACATGCCCTGGCCGTCCCGTCCGCTCACTTCAGACCGGAGCTCGCCCTCCGCTGCGGGGGCAAGGAGTGGTTTGGGAGTCCCTGTGCCCGGGCAATGGGAGAAGCATGTCGATTAAGCTGGTGTTGCCCCGCGTTCTGCCCCCTACACAGCCATGACGCCAGTGGTTTGCCGTCTGCTGCCGCGGTTAAGAAGTTTTTCTTGGCTGCGGGTGCAAAATGGGGCTTAGTGGCCCGCACTGGCACTTGATCAAGTCCGGCAACTGACCCGAAGACTCTCCGTCGGCCCCACCATGTTGTTAGACAGCGCCATTGACTCGTCACTCGTGCACCCGTTCGGAAGATTCAGGAAGTCAAATGCTAACATGGTCTGATCGTCTATGAACAGGTCTGGAAGATCAATCGCGAACGAGCCGTCGACTATCTCAACACCCGGAACCGCATCTATGTGATCGATGGGTACGCCGGCTGGGATGAACGGTACCGCATCAGCGTCCGAGTTGTCTGCGCCCGTGCCTACCATGCCCTCTTCATGCGGAACATGCTTATCCGACCCACTCGAGAAGAGCTGAAGAACTTCCATCCTGACTATGTCATCTACAATGCCGGCTCGTTCCCGGCCAACAGGTACACGGCCGGCATGACCAGCGCTACTAGCGTTGCCATCAACTTTGCCGACAAAGAGATGGTCATCTTGGGTACGGAATATGCGGGCGAGATGAAGAAGGGTGTCTTCACCGTCCTCTTTTACGAGATGCCGGTCAAACACAACGTGCTGACGCTCCATTCGTCGGCCAACGAGGGTGAGGACGGCGATGTGACGGTCTTCTTTGGCTTGTCGGGCACCGGCAAGACCACTCTTTCAGCCGATCCCAAGCGCAAGCTGATCGGTGATGATGAACACTGCTGGTCCGACAAGGGTATCTTCAACATCGAGGGAGGCTGCTATGCCAAGTGTATTGGCCTGTCTGCTGAAAAGGAGCCCGACATCTTCAATGCCATCCGATTCGGCTCGGTCCTCGAAAACGTCGTCTTCCACCCTGAGACCCGCGAGGTCGACTATGATGACGCCACTTTGACGGAGAACACCCGCTGCGCATATCCGATTGAATACATCAGCAACGCGAAGATCCCCTGCTTGAGCAACAACCACCCCAGCAACATTATCCTGCTCACCTGTGACGCCCGTGGTGTTCTGCCACCCATCTCCAAGTTGAACACGGCTCAGACTATGTTCCATTTCATCTCGGGATACACCTCCAAGATGGCCGGTACGGAAGACGGCGTCACAGAACCCCAAGCCACCTTCTCTTCCTGCTTCGCTCAGCCGTTCTTGGCGTTGCACCCCAACCGGTACGCCAAGATGCTTGCGGACAAGATCTCGCAACACAACTCGAATGCCTGGCTGCTCAACACCGGCTGGGTTGGTGCCGGAGCGACCACGGGCGGCAAGCGTTGCCCACTGAAATACACCCGTGCCATCTTGGATGCCATCCACTCTGGGGAACTGGCCAAGGCCGAGTACGAGAACTACGAAGTGTTCAACCTGAGCGTGCCCAAGAGTTGCCCTGGTGTCCCCTCTGAGCTTCTGAACCCCAAGAAGAGCTGGACCGGATCGGCCGACTTTTCCGAGGAAGTGACCAAGTTGGGCAAGCTGTTCAACGAAAACTTCAAGAAATACTCGGATGAAGCCACCGAGGACGTGATCAAGGCCGGTCCAGTGGTGTAGACACCAGAAGGCAGATCTGCTCTCGGAGGTTTTGTTTTTGGTCCGGATCCTCCGGGCATGCTGTACAGAAATGCGTTGAAAATTGAGAGTGCATAGTTCATGGCGTTGGGACAATAGCGTTCGGTTGGTTGACGACAGCAGCAACACGAACGCGAGACGCGAGAGGCATCACGAATGCAACGAACGGACAATCCGATGATGGCTGTCTCTCCATGTCTAGCTCGCCCAGAATGGGGGCCGACAATGTTGAGAGTGTAAAGGCCTCAGTATATGCCTGCTAAATATTGTGCTACGACCACTAGGAGATGGCTATCCATAGCTGATTCATGTCATATAAGCCGAGAGATTTGTGGAAATCTGAAAGTACTCTTCCTGCAATCTGACTTGATCTCTTTCTTCTCTCTCTCCTCTCTCCGTGCATTTGAGCCATTTCTATGCATGCTCCGTAGCCAACAGGAGTCTGGGGTCAGGTTTACACCTCAGCCTTGTGATGCTGGGAAGGGAGACACAGACTCGGAGAGCTCAGGCAGGTCAAGGATTGCACTCAGCGGTAGGAGATGTCGTGCATAGTGTTTCTTTCGTACAACAGGTCAAGGGTCCTAAGGACTCGGGGTGGCGGGGTCGACGGGCGCAGGCGCAGGGCGGGGAGTTAAAGGGCGATGAGGTTGAGGCCCTGAGGCTCCTGAGGCCTCGGAGGGAGGACGGAGGACAGTGTGATAGAGTTCAGGTCAGTTGAGCTGACTTCCTACATTAGCAGTACTTGTATTGTATGTGTAGGTGGCGAGGCACGAAGGTTGTATAGTCAGGCTCATAGCGCCAGAAGTAGCAGCTGTAGCAAACCAATTCATTGGGGGTGGCTCGGACATTTTCCGGGGGCACGAGTCTCCCTCAAGCCTCTGCAGAGTGTGCACGGATCCAACAGCAATTCTGTCTTGTGCCATCCCACAAAAACCCTGATCCGATGTACGCAGTACGTACGTACCTAATATACTAATCCGCACTCTGTAGTAATACTCCTTACTCCGTACATACTGTCCCATTTGGCATTGTGCCTTGCGTATCGAATCGAATCCCACCATCCACCATCCACCATCCACCCTCGCGTCTCCATCTTGCCAGCACCGACCACTGACCAACCGAGCCCACCAACCTGGTCGAAGCCTGAGCCTGAGGAGCCTGAGAGCCTGAGGCTTAGCCCTCGCAGCCACTTTGATTCATTCTTCGACACATCGACCTTTCAACTTCCATCCGCTCATCCAGCTCAGCACCATCGCCTCCGCGGCCTTCCCGCCTCCCACCTCCCACAATTCAGCCTCGTCTTCGCTGAAGCAGCACGTCGATATTATGGCCGATCCGGATCCGTAGTCAGCACCGTCTCACACATCTTCTCTTTCCATCCCACCTCCCCGGCGGTCCTTCATCGAACTTTTCCCGGACCTCTCCAACGAGCCCTTCCGCACTCAACCGCAAACACCCTGTCCGTTCCTTTACCGGATTGTCCGATTGCTTTTCTTGCCCTGTCGACCTGCGCGACTCCCGGCACCGCTCAGTTTCGTTCTCTGCTCCCACTCTTCCGTACCGGGTGCACGCTCAATTTGCGATTGCGGGCTCCGGTCAGAATCTCGCTGTCCAGCGGTCGCACCCGAACCCGAGTCCATCGCTTTCGCACCTTGTCCTTGCTTCGACGTCCGATTCCGCTGATACGAATCTATGTAAAAGAAGGGGTCCCACAGACATTCGACCCTCAACATGCTCATAAACGGAGAGAAATTTGCCTGCGAGGCCTGTGTGCGGGGTCATCGTGTTAGTTCTTGCCACCACCAAGGTAAGGGTCTTGATCGTCGCAAAGGTCTGCAAGATACTGTGAATACATGCTGATGCTGGCGATCGCCAGACCGTCCTCTGGTCCACGTCAACAAGAAAGGTCGGCCAGTGTCACAATGCCAGCACTGTCGAGGGCTGCGCAAGGCTCGCTCACAGCACGTAAAATGTGAATGTCACGACAAGGGTCACTCTAAGGACGACTGTCCACATGTGAAAACCGAAGGCAAGTCGGGTGAGTCAATCTCCACCTTTCCGAGCCCGACGCATAATGACAGTCTCCCCAGAGCCGCATACCTGCTGTTGCCAGCATGGCCAGCGGTGCAATTGCGCGTTGAAGAAAGACCTCGAGCCTGTCCCCGAAGATATTCCCCCACTCATCCAGCCGAAAGAACATCACAAACAACGGCCGAACATGAATTCGCACGAGGCCAAGGCCACCATCATCACAAACGGCCATCATAAGCCTGTTCACAAATTCAACGATGCGCATAATCAACTGGGGACTCCCTACAAAATCCCTTCCCGATCGCATTCCCTCCACGGCCAGCGCGATGTGGCTCATCGGTCCACCGACAGTCTACCGCTTACCAAATCTTCCAGACCCTTCCATGAGTCGCCGTTGCACAATTCGATGACCGACGCTCTGGACATTATACATCGGCGGGTCAAGTCTGAACACAACTCTCCCGCCCTTGGGCCATCGAGCATGGGTGTGGACCCGGCGATCCAGGATCTTGCAATCCCGAGTTTCGACCCCAATGCCTATTCATATTCTCCCTTCGGCACCGACACGCCTCCGACGCAAACAAATAGCCTGCAAAACAGCCAGAATCCCAGTTTGCAGGATCTGTCACTGCCCGAACGCTTTCCCGAGAGTTGGTTCATGACATATGAACAGGCACACGATTACGAACCTCCGCCGGGATCCCGATATACTGATTTGTCGGCGGTCGATTGGTCGACGTTCAACCTAGATACAAATCCGAATCCCTACACGAGTAGTCAGAGCAACTCTCCCTACATGGCCCAACAAGCCCCCTATTTGACCGGTCAAGTCAACAATGCGGGCATCACATCTTCAAGCGGGGAGGTTTCCGAGGTCGACGACCCATCGCCACCCTCTCAGCTACCCACCGGCAACAGGCCGTTGAATATCGAACGACCTAATGGGTTGGACGGCTATAGCGATTTTAACAGCATCGGGGGCGACGACGTTTCCGATCGGCATCGACTGAGCTCTGCATCATCTTATTATGGAACCCCTCAAGCCAACATGCTGGCCAACGACAACCGAGGATCTCTCGACATTGACGACTATATCAAACAGGCTGAAGCGGAGACGAAACGGATGCAGATGCAACAGCAACTGGCCCACCTGCAAATGAATCCACAAGATGCACAATCGTCGCGAATGTCGAGCGTCAGTCGAGGAATTACGCCGAGTATTTCGACCCCGGGGAGCACAGCAAACGCGGAACACCCATACACGATAAGAGAAGCGCAAAGGTACGCTCACATGGACGGAAACAGTACTCATGTGGCGGAGAGGAAACCTGCCATGGCACCGGTTAGCATTGCGGATGATCCTGCATGGTCCCTGGCCCCAGATATGTCCAATCCCGAGCTATCTTTGCACGATGAACAGGAAGACGAGGACTGGGTTCGGTGATACATGATGCACAAGATGCTCGAGGTATATACGGAGTATACACAGAAATACCCATATCCCCAGGTCGAACAAAGGCGGTGAATGACCCAGGTTGTCTTTGATGAGTTACGATGTCGCGAATTATGTATGCACTTACAGATACCACGGGGCTTTTTGGGCTTTTGGGCTTTGGGGGGTTTTTTTTTGGGGCCCTTTGGAAATAAACAGACGTACTCGTACTAGTTTTGGATTAACCTCTAGTACTGGCGAAGAAAACTTGCAATGGCAATGCGGCTAGTTATATACGTAGCTATAGGTGTCTAGGTGTCTAGGTGGAAAGGGCCAAGGCCGAAGTCAGCCTCGCCTCGCCTCGCCTCGACTCGACTCGACTCATACTGCATTGTGCCAGCTCAGTAGTAGCAGCAGCAGAAGCAGTAGAAGCAGTAGAGCAGTCTCAGCCTCGGCAAAATGAATTGAATTGAATTGATTGAATTGAATTGTGTGGGTTGCAGTGGCACACACAGGCACAATCACAGGCACCTACCACCTACCAACCTACCTACCTATAGGGCAGGTTTTCTTTTTACTGTTTTCTTTCGACTGTACGAGGTACGGGGTACGGGGTACTAGCCGGACACTGAGGATACCGGATACCGGACGGATACTAGATATCAGATACTTGGGCGACTAGCGACTAAACCGGTATGTATGTATTGTTGAATGCTTGCATGCTTGAATGCTTGAATGCTTGGGTCATTCGGAATGTTTATATTTGCGTCTACGTCTACGTTGTCCGTACGTACAGCATTCATGGCATGCTTTCCTTTCCTTTCTTTTCCTTTGGTGTTGGTGTTGGGTTACGTCGGTACGAAAAATAGGACATGCTATATGCCATATGCCATATGCCATATATTTATACTATACTATACTACGTATACTGTACTATACTGTACTATGGAACGTATGATCCGATCACCTAACATGTTAGTTACCTAGGTACCTACCATGTTACATACGTACCTACTACTAGATAGGTAGTTAGGGTCCTATAGGATAGGAACTAGGCCGTGTTCAAACCTGATGTTAATATATATACATGTACATACATATACAGCATATACAACATTCCTCTTGTCTATCTCAATTCACCGTTTCAACACCTCGGCAACCCAGCGCATCTCGACAGCACTCACGCCGCGCGCGTACGCCTTGGTGCCGGTATATACGAATTCATTGTAGACGATGCCTTCGAACTTTTGGCGAGGGAGGCCGTCACCACCAACACCACCACCACCACCACCCCTACCTCCTGCTCTTGCACCACCTCCACCACCACCACTTCCCCTCGAAGACGATCCAGATCCAGATCCAGATCCAGATCCAGGCACCGAAAACAATACGCTGCTCGGGTGGATCGCCACGGCCTGGTTGGTCAGGATGGTGCGGTAGCTGCCGTCGGGGCTGAGGCGTGCGACGTTGGCGTGGAAGCCGGTCAGAATGCATTTCAGCACTCGGGACGGCAGGGTCGTCGGGTCGTGAGTTGTGTTGGTGTTGGTGGCCTCTGTGTCTTTGTCCGTCTCGGTCTCGGTCTCTTTCCCTTTCCCTTCCCCTTCCACTTTCCCTCTCCTACTTTCAGCTGTTCCCTTCCCTTTCCCTTTCGACCTCGCCTTCTCTCTCTGCCCCATCAATGCCGTCAACTGCTTCCGCACGTCCATGGCGCTGTTCATGGCGCGGTGTGAAATGAATCGCTCCTCACACCAGCGCCGCCGGTCGGTCTGCTCGGCGGCATACGCCTGCATCGTGGCCAGCAAGGTCAAATGATCTCCCTCGCGACGGAACAGGGCGCGACGGTTGCGTTCGGCGCGGCCTTCGCGCGTCTCTTCTCCGTCTCCGTCTCCGTCAAATTCATCCTCGTCATCACCATTACCGTCGTGCTTCTTCGTCCCCGCTTTCAATGGATCGGAATTTGGTTGCCGCTGCCGCTGCCGCATCTGGCTGTGGTGGATGTTGAGAAAGACATTCTCCACGCTCAGCGCCGACACAATGTCGATGATCTCGTCCACACAGTCGAACTCGGGCTCGGCGCTGGCCAGCAGGACTCGCGCCAGACTCGCGGGTAGAGGCAACCCGCCCATGTCGCGGCCCAGAGGGGAGATGCGCCCTGTCGCCGTGTCCAGCACGGCCAGCTGGATCAGATGGATCATCGCCCTCTCCAGCGCCCGGCGAGGCGGCGCCGTCAAAAACGGGAATTGGTGCAGGTTGTCGATGCCGTGCGCCTTCAGTGTCAGCACCAACTGGCTCAAGTCGCACCGCAGGATCTCCGGCTCCGTGTCCTGCGACAGTTGGTAGAAGTCGGATTCCGTGTACAGCCTGTACGCCGTGCCAGGGCCATCTCGACCGGCCCGGCCGGCGCGCTGGTTCGCGGAGCTGCGTGAGATGGGCACCGTGAGCAGAGTGTCCAGGTTCAACGACGGGCGGAACAGCCGCTGTTTCGCCTTGCCCGTGTCGATCACGTGGCGGATCCCCGGCACCGTGATGCTGGTCTCGGCAATGTTCGTGGCCAGGATGATCTTGCGCGTGAACTTGGGCGTTGCCTGGAACACACGCTGCTGCAGATTCGATGGCAGTGCCGCGTAGAGCGGCAGGACCAAAAGCCTGGGCAGTTGTTTGGCCAGTTTGACGTCTTTCTGGACACTGGCGGCCCAGCTGGTCAGCAGACTCAGGAGAGATTCGACCGTTTCTTGGCCGGTCAGAAAGACGAGAATGTCTCCTGGCAACGGCGAGTGCGAGTGGATGTGCACGATGCGCTGGTAGGCCGCGTCCAGGATGTCCGGCACAGGCGTCGGCGTGTAGTTGATCGTCACAGCGTGTTGGCGGCCTTTGATAAAGAGCGAGGTTGCTCTGGAGTTTGGAGTTGTCGCTGGCGGTATCAGAGAAGTAGTGGTGGTGGCCTTATTCGATAGATCCTTGTGGGTGCCGGGTTTCGACTGGGTCGAGTGAGGCTTGGAGTTTCCATCGTCTCCGTCAGAGAATCCCGACCATTCTTGTTCTTGTTCTTGTTCTGGGGCTGGTGCTGCTTCGGCTGCGTTATTCTGAGTTTGGTCAGGACCAGCGTGTGCAGTCTGGTGTTGGAGGTTGAAGAAATCCCGGATCCTGTCCATGTCGGCGGTGGCGCTCATGACGACGACCTTGATCGGCACACCCGCTCTCCCATCGTGCGGCGTGCCGCGCAGATCCTGCATGCGCCTCAGGAAGCCGAGGACGAGATCGACGTTGACGCCGCGCTCGTGCACCTCGTCGACCACGACGGCCGAGTACTGCTTCAGCCAGGGGTCGCGCAGCATCTCCTGCAACAGCATGCCCTCGGTCAAGAACTTGACCCGCGTGGACGGGCTGGTGCTGTTCTCGAACCGCACCGAATAGCCCACCAGCGACGCGGGACTGGCGCTGCCCAGCGGCGTGCCCATTTCTTCCGCCACCCGCCGAGCCAGCGAGATGGCCGCCACTCGCCGCGGCTGCGTGATGGCGATGCAGCCGCCAACCGCCACGCCCACGCCGACCTCGCCGTCAACCTTCAGCTGCAGCTGCCTCTTCTGGCACCACGGCTCGTGCACGAGAAACTGCGGAATCTGCGTCGACTTGCCGGACCCGGTCTCGCCCACTAGCAGTAGCACGTCGTGGTCTCGTAGCTTCTGTCGAATGTGCTCCGCGTGGCTGTAGATCGGCAGCTGCTGCCTGACTGCCTGTAGTTGGCGCGCTCGCTCCTTCAGGCTGGCGCGGCCGTGGGGCTTGTGCTGTGGTGTCGACGTCGCTGTCGCTGTCATGGTGGATGGTGTCTCGAGATTATCGTCGTCCCCATCGTCCCCGTCTTGGCCTCTACCTGTGAAGCTCACCACCCTGCCCGACCCGCCGTGCCCGTTCTGCGCACTCCGGGATCGGTGGTGGTGCAGAGTATCCTGCATGGATTTAGACTGGTTAGGCTTGGGCGGTGCGTGGAACGCTTCGGTGGCCGACCTCTTCTTCCCCTTCGGCGCCATCGTGGCCCGGGACTTAGACTGTCCGTTGGGATTGGTGCTGGGCCCCAATCCTTTCGACATCATGTGCCCTCGGATGGCATGCGCTACGTCGGGTAATCTATTGCATTCCTGTAGGGACGGTGATGGCAATGGCAATGGCGCGAATCAAGCGTAGAGGAAAGGGTTAAGGCTGCTTGTTGTATGGCGAGATCGAGTTGGGGTTGGGCGAGCGTGGTCACAAAATACAAAATCTCTTCGCGGGAGCCTTGCGCCACGCGATAATGTGACTCTTGGCAAGGCTGGCATCAGACTGGCAAGCCTCACTCGACAACTCGACACTCGACAACTCGACACTCGACAACTCGACACTCGACAACTCGACACTCGACAACTCGACACTCGACAACTCGACACTC